TTTTCTGCTGTATTGTGTAGTGTGGTGGATCGGAAGGTTGTAGTCGGCTGCTTTTCTGGTGTGGTAGGAGTGAAAATTCTCATTTCTGGGAAGGTTAAGTTTTTTTGTGTACAGGACAACTCCATGGATGTAGAGTGCTGTCACTGTTAGGAGCTTAAGGGATTTAAATGCTTCCCTGCAGCTGTCTAAGCGCTCAAGGCCGGAGAGTGCCCTGACAGCTTTTTTCTGGAGTACCAACACTTTGTTGAGGTTTGCTTCTGATGTTCCTCCCCAAGATATTAAGCAATACCTTATATGCGATTCTATTACAGCATAGTATGCTGTCTTAGCTGTTTCCAGACCTCCTATCCATTTCATCCTCTTTATTACATGAACACCAGATGCAAGTTTTTTGGTCAGGTTGTGTATGTGGTCGTTCCAGGAGAGGTCTTCATCAATTGTCAGGCCCAGCAGTTTTGAGTTTTTTTCAACGGTTATTTCAGGAATTTCTTGGATTTGTTCATGTTTTCGGCTGAAGTTTAACTGGGTTGTTTTTGATGGATTAATGGCCAGGTCATTTTGAAGGCAGTACTGCAGTGCTTTGTCTGTTGAGGATAAGATGTTGGAGTGTAATTCTTGTGGTAAGTCATGCATAAATAGAAGAGTTGTGTCATCAGCGTACATTATTGTTTCACAATTGTCATTCCTAATAAAATCTGGAAAATCATTGGTGAAAAGGATGAACAAAAATGGGCCCATGACTGAGCCCTGGGGCACTCCCCTGTTAATCGAAAGTTGTGTGGACCTATGTACAGATTTTCTCCCATTTGTGTTTTGCTGGATTTCGACAATTTGTGTACGTCTTTTCAAATAGCTTGCCACCCAGTCTTTGGCCATTCCCTCTATTCCTAGGGCTGTGAGTTTGCTTAGGATGAGATTATGGCCCAGGCAGTCAAAAGCTTTGCTGTAGTCAAGTAAGACAGTTGATACATATCTGCGTGCTTCTAGATGGTCAATGATTTGTTCGATTAAACTAGTTAGAGCTGTGGTGGTGGACCTCCCTTTGAGAAAACCATGTTGGTTTTTAGTGATTAGATCATTGCTTTCCAAGTGACTCAGCATTCTTGACAGAGCGACCTTTTCTATTACTTTTGAAAAGGTTGATATTAATGAGATAGGGCGGTAGTTTTCTTGTTTAGTGCGTGAGCCTTTTTTGTGCTTTGGGTATATTTTTGCTATTTTTAGGGCGGAGGGAAATTGTCCAAGGCTAAAAGATTTGTTTATTATGCTGACAAGTGGGGCTGCCAGTTGTTCGGCACAGTGTTTTACAACTTTTGATGGCACTTCATCTACTCCACATGACAGCTTTGATTTTAGTGAGGCTATTGTTGCTAAGACTTCTTTAATGGTTGTAGGAGTTAAAATTAGTGGCTGGACATTGTTTTGTGGTAGAAATAGTGGATGTGTAATTTTTTTGTTTTTGAATTGGCTTCTGTTTTTCTCTAAAGTGGAGTCTGCTATTTCTGCAAAATATTGGTTTAGGTGTTCAGCGATGTCATTAGGGTTATCTAATATTTTTCCCTCTATTTCCAGCTGCAGATTTGGTTCTTCCTTCTGTTTACATTGTTTTTCTTTGTTGATAATCTCCCAGACAGCTTTGGATTTATTATCAGCACTTGTGATGTATTCTGCAGTGGCTTGTCGCTTGAGGGACCTGAGCTTTAAATCATATGTTTTCTTTTTTTCCGACATTGTTGTTTTATCATTTACATTTCCGGTAAGCTCGTATCGGTGTAAGGCATCTAGAAAATCTTCTTTTAGTATTTTGACTTCTTCATCATACTGAACCTTAATTTTCTGTCCTTTCTGCTTAGCTCTTATTTTTTTGATAGGGCAGGCATGGTCCAGTATGAGCCTTACAGTCCTTTGGAATGCAGAGTATGCCTCTTCAGCATCAGGGGCATTGTGCACCTTTATCCAGTTTTCTTTGGAGAGTTCGTCTTTCATGCTATCCAGGTTTTTTCTTGAAAAAATTCTTTTTTGTGACATATCCGTTTTAGCAGTAACTTCACTCTGTATTTTGAGGGTACATGTTTGGCCTGTGTGATCTGCTATTCCAGCGTTAATTATAGCGAAATCTATAGCATTATCATGTGTGTTCGTACAGATACAGTCTATAGAGGTTCTTGAATGGTTAGTGATTCTTGTTGCTGGGAGTGGTAGTCTTCTAACTCCAAAAGTTGACAGTTCCTCTTCAAGATAGTTACTACTGGCATTTTCAGTTAACCTGTCTATATTGATATCGCCCATTAATACAACGGTCTTGGTGTCAGCTTGAAGTGACTCCAGAACTTCTGATAGGATGTCAATGGCTAACCTAGCTTGTCCCCCTGGTGGTCTATACATACCAAGTAAGTAGCAGTTTTTGTTCTTTATCCTTATTTTCACTAATGCTGCTTCAAAAACTAACTCTAAACTTTGGTTGGAGATTTCTATTTCTTCTGCCTTGATAGCAGCAGTTTCCTGGATATAGATTGCAACTCCTCCCATTCTATGCTCTTCCCTGCAGGAATATGTGACTAGGTTGTACCCACTAATCTTAGTGAGTAATAACATATCTGAGCTGAGTCCATGTTCAGTAATCACCAAGATAGTGGGTTTGAGTTCACTCATTAGATGATTTATTCTTTCAATCTTTTTCCTAAGACCTTGAACATTTTGGTGAAAAATTGTGATGGAGGTTGTTTTATTTTGTGTAATAACTAAATGTTCCTGATTATCTCTTTGTGCTTTGGGGTTTGTGTTTTGGTTGTTGTCATTCAGGGGGGAAGTTGATTCTATGTTTTGTCGTCTGTTTGTTTCTTCACACCTAAAAAATGGTTTAGGGTCTGATTTGAGTCTTTCAGTATTGATTGGTTATGTTGTTTACATTGTGGTAGCTTATGGTGTGAGATCCCATTTATGTACTCCATGTGTTGGTTTAAAAAGTCTTCAAGTGATTCATTTGGTTGTAGTTTTTTAGCGGTACAGGGAGGTCCTTTTTGTACTTTAAATGTCTGTCTGTTAGCAGGAAGTTTATCAATGATGGGAGATTCTTGTTGTGCACATTGAGTGGACTTGGGGCAAGGAGTAGACTTTAAACTGTTCTGGAGAGTATTTAATTTTGATTTTGTATTGTTTATGTTTATGTCCTTTTCTTTACTTTTTTTCATCTGGAAACCACACTAAAAATATTCCTATTCATTACCCTTAGCTGTTTCCTTATTCTTCCGTTTGCATCGGTTTTCGGGCTTTCACAAGACGGTGTGGGTTGTGTATCACTGGGGAAGTTTGTATTCTTAGCATTCTCTTGCTGAAATATTTTACTTTTAATTTCTGTTAAAGTATTTTCTGTTTCTTCTTGCCAGGTCTTCAGCTTCGCTAGCTCAAGTAGCAGGGACAATGAGCTGTTTTGTGTTGGGAGCTCAGAGCTGTGGGTTTGAGATTCGGAGTTTTTGAATGTTAAAGTGTTTTTTGCTTGATGATTTCCAGAAACATTATATTTTGTTGGGTTCTTAATAGTTTGTTGTAGGTTCTTTATTTCTTTTTCTAGATTACAAATTACTTGATCTTTGTCCTTGTCTTGATCTTCAAACATTGTTGTTAGTTCAGCTCTGAGTTGTCTCTCTTTGATTAGCTGTTGCTCAGCTTCATTTAAGGTTTGTGTTATCGATGTTATTTGATTTAATAAAGATTCCTTCTCATGTTCTAGTTCCTCGATTTTTGCTTCATAACTCATTTCAAGAGAATTATTTTTGTTGAAAATCTGATGGGTTAGTTTAGTATTTTCTATAGTCAAATCATGTAGGTCTTGTTTTAACTTATTGTTTTCTGTAAGTAGGACATTACCAACTTCGGCAGCTAAAGTTAGGGATGTCTCTAAGTCTTCCTGTTCTTGAGCTTGAAATTGTTTTATTTTTGCTTGAAGGTCTTCTGAGCTGGTTTTGACTTGACATTCAGAGGTTGTTTCAATCTTTTGATCGATTAAGGGGGTTGTGCATGTAGGCAGAAAAGGGATTGAGTCCCTTTGAAGTTTGGGAGTCTTCCTTTGAAGATTGAGTCCCTTGGATGTTATTACACGAGGGTAGTCAGGTACGTAGCCACACTTTGGCGACCTTATGGCCTCCGAGCCTGGTCGCCACTCCAGTCGCCACTGGCTATAAAACCGGAAAACTTCTGGCTACTGAACTGGCTACTAGGTTTGGTAGGTAGCCTATGCGTCACCAGCAACTGCCGCTGACGACATTGCCTTACCTCATGTAATAAGAGCCTAAGCCAACGCAAAACAAAAAAAAACTGTCTCCTTTCAAGGATTATATTTTTGTATCATAAAAATGAATAGGACCGACTAATCTATATTATTAAAAGAATTTGTTGGATTTTTGTGTGCAGCTAATCTACCCCTAAATATTAATTTTTATAGGCATATCAATTTAAAGTTCTTATTATCTAGATGTGCCTTTTGCAGGTTTGGATGATATCTCGTGAAAGCCCTTCGTCCTAGTCCTACAGGCTTTTAAAATTTCAGAGTCTGTGCTGAATTCTGTTGTCAATCATCTGAACCCACTAATCTATATTATTAAAAGAATTTGTTGGATTTTTGTGTGCAGCAAATCTACCCCTAAATATTTATTTTTACAGGCATATCAATTTAGATCTTATTATCTAGATGTGCCTTTTGCGGGTTTGGATGATATCTCGTGATCAAGCCCTTCGTCCTAGTCCTACAGGCTTTTAAAATTTCAGAGTCTGTGCTGAGTTTATATTTGTTTACATTAAAACAAATGGCCATGATACAATTTTGATATAATAGGGCACGCAATACAAATATTAGGGATATATGAAGAGAAATTTAATCGTTTTCACCCTTTCAACTCCAACTGTGTATAAAATAGGCCTACATTATGGATTGTGAAGTCACGAAGTGATGCAGGCTGCTAGTTAATAAAGTAAATTTGTTGATTGTAAATGTACACCATAAAGAGATTCAGATATTTACCTACCTCAATCAGGTAATAGTCATAATGAAAGTAGCCTCTGTTTAGAATTTATTAATTTCATACACGGTTTCGTCTCTTGTTTACAATATAACTGTTGATAAAATTCAACTGAAGGATGAGCTGTCAAATTACAATTCACATTTAAAGCCGGTATAAAGAAAGTGGGTCAGCATCACTCGATCTTTGAAAGCAAACTCTAAAATTAAATCAACCCCTAGGGGGGTGATCCCTGAATGAAATGAACTTTTTAGGTACGGTACCTTTTTAGGTACAGGTTTAGGTACCGCTTTTTAGGGCGTCGGTAAACATGACGCCACCAGATCATAAGCTTTACTATGAAACCTAAAAATCGGTTAAGTAGGACGGGTGAAAAAGGGATGTAAAGGGGAAAACCCTTATTGTATTAAGTTTAGATATTCATTGTAATTAATTATCTGATAAATCGTATACAATTCCTGACTACAGATGTTTTTCAGATACAATATGGCACTGATTCCACCGTTAAAAACAGCATTTTGCGGTTGCTCCAACAAAACTGGTTGCAAAATCATCGGATGGACAACATTGGTATGTTTCTATCTACACATAAAGTAGAATATTATTTTGTTATTATTGTATTTAATCTTGATACTTCCATTCACACTTAAGACTCTTACAATAGGTACTCTCAGTGTAACCTGAATATATCCTATCCATTTAAAAAACGCAGACGTATTGGTCCATGAAAAAATCTTAAAGAGGCAAATTAAACTACAAACAGTACGCCTAGCAGTTTTCCTTTATAAAACAGTTATAAAACTGTTAACTCTATGTTTACTAATTTGTGACAAAAATTCTGTGTTGCAGCTTACATTCGCAGTTTGCACTTAAAAGGGAGTCTGATAATAAAAAAAAATTCTGGCCTTTTGGAATTTTATCATAGTTTATGTTTATATTTTTAATTTAAAATCAAATAATAATTGCCAGGTGAATTGTCAGGATAAAACTGAAACAATAGGAGTTGTTCAGAAAGTAACCTCATCAGTACAACAAATTATTGCCCATGTGGAAAAAAATTTTCTGGGCCAGTAAAAAAATTTTCTGGCCCAGGTTCTGGGCACTTCCAAAATTGGCAAGAACTGGCCAGTACTGGCCAGAACCTGGGAAGTACTGGGCCAGAACCTGGGCAGTACTGGCCAGAACCTGGGCATTACTGGGCCAGAACCTGGGCAGTACTGGGCCAGAACCTGGGCAGTACTGGGCCAGAACCTGGGCAGTACTGGGCCAGAACCTGGGTAGTACTGGGCCAGAACCTGGGAAGGACTGGACCAGAACCTGGGCATTACTGGACCAGAACCTGGGCAGTACTGGGCCAGAACCTGGCCAATACTGGACCAGTATCTGGATCATACAGTAGTGAGAATTGAACCAATATGGAAGATGAATTAATAAGACACCTTTAGCAATAAACAATTTGTATTTGAAAATTACATATGCTAAAATACAAATTATGTTAACAAAAATCAAGGTTAGGTAATAAATTATTTTTTTGCAAAATTACAATAAAAGTTGTATGAAAAAGTAAAATCACCAAAAAGAATACTATATTGATAATACCCTACAATACTAAATTTAATTTTATATTGAAAATGTAAAAAATTAAACAATCAAAATATCCAATGAATCTAATTTGTCGGGGTTATAATTATTAATCAAATTAATAATGTCAGATTTATAGTATTAACACAATGGTCTTTAGAATATAAATGTAGTACAGTAGTTGTCATAAAGTTTTTTTTTACCTGAAACAGACAAGTTACAACTATAAAAAATGGTGAGCTGATGTAAGTATATTTGTATCTCCAGAGCTCAGCTTGGCCTTTATGTTGGGTTGTCTTTAAGTTTGGGCTAATTCGCTTTCAATGTACATGTGCAGACTTGAACAACTCCATTATTTTTAATGTATAGCCGCATAAGCTGCGCAGTTCCTAATGCGGGCTAGGCTATATTTATATTGAATAGAAATGAGATTGTACATATCTCAATAATCGAATTAAAACTTGATTTTGTAAAATAACCTGGCAATAGGCCTACACAATTTAGAATCAATATAGGACCTAATAGGTAATCTAGTTTTATCCCAATTCAGGTTAACTTAAGCGGCCATCTTAAAATTTTACTGTAATAGGCTACGTAACTTATATAAGTATAATGAAAAATCATTTCAAAGGCCATAAATAAAGTTAAATAGGTAGGCCTACTTAAATACTCAGTTATAGGGACTTAAAATAAAAAGACTCAAAAAAAATGTTATAGCCTATCTTTCTTGTTACCGTACTTTTTTCATGTTGGCACTTCCAAGGGTGCAGTTCCGTAGAGAACCTACTATATTCTGTAGTTATATTGTATCGGATGAGTTTGCTTTCATGTAAATATCCATTGTAACAATTGTATCAATATTGTTGTTTCAAGAAGACTTTTTCCACACATTCTGCGGCGGTTAGGTTGTTTTAGTTTAGTTTATGATAGTAGCAATCAAAGTAAAATTGTTGGTAGGTATTAGAGTTGATATTACTTTGGTTTGTTTAACAGATTACAATCACAAAGACATCAATTTGTAGGCCTATTCATATAGTTTTTTAATAAGTTTCATAAACTAAACTATGTAGGTAACCTAACCTAAACGCCATAACTTACTGTAAACGAAAATCAATATTGAAATTCAATATTTATATCGATTGAAACATGTTAATCGATAGTTAGGCCTAAGTTATATCGAAGTAGACTATTTTAATATTTAATCCGTTAATGTAACCCATCATGGGTTCTCTGCCTTAGGCCTACCTTAGCACTTAAGCTAAGACCTATTTATCATATTATTTACATAATCAGGGCTAACTTAGTAGGCTTCTTATTATAAAATACAACAGCAAACATAACCAAACATCAAGTTAAGTTAAGTTAGTCCGGCCTAAGATAACTTACTTAACAAAACAATCTGTGAATAAAAATAGCCGCCCATTCAAATGAAAAACAATGTTTTTGTGTAGGCTCTAACTTATTCATTAGGTAGTTTTGCATTTTGATGTTTAAGCCTAAGTTACTTTTGATCTAGGCATAAGTTAAGTAGGCGGGTACAGTTTCTTAACTGGGCTATGCTAATATTGATTGAAACTATCGTTTCGATCAGTAAGCCTTCATGCGATTTTTTCACCATCAGCAAGTTTGGTTGGTTAGGTTGGTCATGATAGTTTAATTATAAAATAGGCCAAGATATATTTCAAAATCGATTATTAATCAATATTTTCCATTTGATAGTTTCAATCGGAAACTGTACCCAAATGTAGCCCCAAACAGAACCTACGCTGAACAAAAGTTAGGCTACCGGTACTAAAAATTGACTTAATTGCAATCGAATCTCATCATTAATTTACAAATCCAATCAAGGTTTGCTTTACTTGTAGGCCAAGTCATAGGCCTAGGCTATCAAGGCCTAAACTTACCGTACCGTACACAATTTGTGAGATCAAATAATGAAGTAACATACTGACTAAATACTTCACAACTCCAAATTTAACACTTCAATGAGTAGAAAATCGTTAAAATTGGAACTAGGCGTTGGCTAGTTTATTTTGTTGCACTGAAATAGGTAGGCCTAAGTTAAAGTTTACCTAGGCCTATACTAGGTACTGGACACATAAAAACTAAACCTAACAGCCACCTCAACATTAAGGCATATTATGAGTTTAATATGACAACTTAATAATATGACACTTATGCAAACCTGTGGTGCATTACTTACAACTTTTTGCTAAAATGAGGCCTGTGAACTCAGTTGTTTATAAACCTGATGGTTTGCCAAGTTCGACCTGATTCTTTGTCGATAATCCATTCTGATTCCACACGAATAGATATTTTTCACAGCAAATTAGGTAGAACGTTGTTCTACGATTAATATTAAGATATAACTAAGACAAGAACACCTTAGTTAGAAATTAACTGTTAATAAAGATGTCGAGACCAAAACTGAACTGACCAACTGACAGGTTGAGATTGAGATTTGAGGTTAGTTAGTAACAACTCCGCTCCGCTCCGGCGTGCGTCACGTTGGATTGGATCGGATTTGATTTTGGAATGGAATGGAACTCGTACAAAAAAAATAGTTATCTTCGTCTTCGCTCTTCTCACTTCTGTCTTGTCCTCGTCTTAATTATTGCCCTCTTGTGTTAGATTTTTGTTGGCGATGCGTTGAGCTTAAAAAAACGTTAAATTGTGTATTCGTATTCATTGGTCAAAGGTCAAAGCCATTGCCAAACCCAAACCTTCAATTGGACTAACTGGACTGGATCCAAATCCAGAGAGGTTTAAAACCATGGTGGGGGGGGGAGCGAGTTCAAGTTGAGACGATCTCGATATTATTGATGGTAACAGTTTTTACCCTTGAAAATTATCTAAACATGTAGGCCTATAAATTTTGTCTTGCTCTAAACTTAATTTTTCAATAAATATAGGTTTAACTAATTGACTAGTTTTTACTTCAAATATCTGTATTTTATTACCTTAACCTCGGTTCCTTTATTTACATACTGTACTCTGTCAAGATTGATTATTGGTCTAGAATCTACAAGTACTAGCCAGTTACTGGTAAGTTCTGGCCAGTACTGGCAAGTTCTGGCCAGTACTGGTGAGTTCTGGCCAATACTGGTGAGTTCTGGCCAGTACTGGTGAGTTCTGGCCAGTACTGGCCGGTTCTGGTCCAGGTTCTAACCAGTACTGGCCAGGACCTGGACATTACTGGCCAGAACCTGGACATTACTGGCCAGAACCTGGGAAGTACTGGCCAGAACCTGGGCAGTACTGGCCAGAACCTGGGAAGTACTGGGCCAGAACCTGGGCAGTACTGGCCAGAACCTGGGCAGTACTGGACAGAACCTGGGTATTACTGGCCAGTACTGTAGCAGTACTGGCCAGTACTGTACCAGTACTGGCCAGAACCTGGGCCAGAATTATATTTCTACATGGGTGTAAATCAATAAGAAAGCCCATGAGTTTAAAACACTTAAAATTTTATGTTTTTATACATGGCTCTCTGTTTTTACAGGTTTTAGGTATCATAGGACTAATAGTATACATATTTCTACTGACTTGGGCTTCAATTTCAATATCCAACACAAGTGACAAGGAACTGGGAGAAAAAATCATCTATTTGCTTAACAAAAACGAAACCCATGATTTCAACATTGATGAGAAAGATCGTGAATTCAACCTTGAATATGTTTTGAGGAAAGTGGTTGGAAACAAACTAGATACCAATGATCCTGCAGCAATTGGCCAACATGTGAAAAAACAGCTGGCAGGTAAGGTTGTCTTAGATTTTGGTGAATTTGTCAATTTGGTAAATCAGTAGCGCCACAAACTTCGGGCCCAAGGCAGCGATATCGCGGTTTCGGATACTGGTCACTGCCACTACTTTTTATCAGAACAGTAACCCTGTACTGTACTGAGTCACCCCTTGCTTGGCTGTATACGCTCCTCGCACATGCCTTTGTGGCACGTGTGGGAGGGTAAATTCAAGGCAAAAGCCAATGATTCAGTGAAGCAAGTGCAAATAGAGTATGTCAACCTCTTTGATAAAAATTAATTCTTGATTACATAAAATATTGAGTTAATTTCCTTCAACCTCGAGTCTTACCATGACTACAGCAATACTAAATTCACTCTCTTCGCTTCATTCTGTGTTTATCAAATGTGTCTCTCAAATTAGGAGATATCCTTTAAACAGAGGCTCGTTTGTATGAGGGCTGTTCAGGAAGTAAGGAACGTTTTGAAATAAAATAACTAAATTTTGATTATGTTCATTTGAAAGAGCAACTAAAATAGTACTTTTCTATATATCGGCTGAACAAATTGAGGCGTTACTCAAACGTGGATGTGCTTTTTGAAATTCATTTTGAAGAAGAATTCTGCCTCCTGCAAGCTCGTAGCCACTTGGTGACTTGCAATTGAAGGTCCTTGTCGTAATCACAGCGCTAAGCTGCTAACCAAGGCTTCATTTTGGTTGCAGATAACGAGTGAAAAGTCACTAGGAGCCAGTTCTAGACTGTAGGGTGGTTGAGAGAAAATCCCCTTTGAATGATTGAAGATTGTGTATGCGATTTGACGAGTGAGGTCAGACGTTGTCATGAATTAACAGAATTTCTGATTTAAACTTTTGTTTTGCCATTTTAAAAAGACTTTCCATTTTTACATTGTTTCCGTACATTTCCCACCCTGAACAATAAATTTCTCCGTTGTAATGGCTAGATAAGGATAGTCACTGAGTTGTTAAACATGTATGTACTAGAAAGTTTGCGCCCTTTGGCGTCAGATGGAAACATTCCTTACTTTCTTTCTGAACAACCCTGGTAAACTTGAACAAACAGATGAAACAAGTTTTCAAAGAGTAATTGTACTTTCAGTTATGTTCAACGTTTTGATCTTCTTGGTCATCTTCTTGATTGAGACATTGACCACAACTACAATGCTGTACGGGGTCTACAAGGTATGTATTTACTCAATGTTTTATTATTTCATTATTTCGCTTTTGCAATCCAAGGTTATTGGTTGTATTAGGGTTCTGTACATTGGCAATTTGTTTCAGTACACCAGGTTCATAATTAAACCGAACAAATATTCATGTACTATTTGGAACACTTGAAATATTATATATGCAATATATATAAATATAAATACTATAAGAATTCCTATAAACACACTAATGTATGTAGGGTAGTAATTTTGTGGAATATAAATATTCATCCACTTATTCATTGAAATTTCTATTATATCATTGAAATTTTGATTAAACAAACTTTTCTCATGATGCGGACACGGGGCAGACTAATTGTATATTGTGTCTTGTTCATTACTATTATTATTATGCCTACATTAAAAACCAATCCTGGGGTCATATGTCAGCTTACACAGAGAAGAAAGGTATCGAATTATGTGTGAACTTTTTGAGCCGGGAATTTTCAATATTGCCACGATCGCACATGAAGATGATGTTTCCGTGACTACGGGAGACGCCCACGGCCGTTTGGACATCATCGTCATCTCAGAAGTGTGCCATTTTAAAATTTTTGGTCAAGCCAAACTCGAGGTTATATTGTGATCGTCTAACACTGTTGTAGAGTCAAGGAAACGTCATTGTCGTCTCCCGCGGTCATGGAAACGTCATTGTCTGCTCCCGCGATCACGGAAATGTCATCGTTATCTCCCGCGTACACGGAAACGTCATCGTCGTCTCCTGCGGTTACGGAAACGTCATCGTCTTCACCCGCGGTCACGGAAACGTCATCGTCGTGTCCTGCGGTCACGGAAACGTCATCGTAGTCTTCCGTGGTCACGGAAACGTCATCGTCATCTCCCGCGGTCACAGAAACGTCATCGTCGCCTCCCGCGGTCACAGAACGTCAGCGTCGTCTCCCGCGGACACGGAAACGTCATCGTCGTCTCCCGCAGTAATGGAAACGTCATTGTCTACTCCCGCGGTCACGGATACGTCATCGTCGTCATGCGCGATCGCGGCAAAATCACTAACAAATCCCACGCTAGAAAAATTTTGATGAAAAGTACGAACTGAACTACCTGGATTTTTTTTTACTCATGAATTTTTTCTGGTTGGCCTGGTGGACACCCTGTTAGAGGAGCCACCATCAGTGATTAGTAACGCTTCTAAATCACCTTCCGTGATTCGTAAACAATTTTGAAATCTAGCCTGAAGCTTTAAATAGCCTACCTCACCTCATAAGGGAATTGTAGGTACCTTCAACAACCCATGACTTCTAATCCACTATCCCGGTCGCTTTCTACGTTTTAAATTAATAAATTGGTGGGATGCACGAGCCATTACAACAAAAGCAGCAGCGGTCTCTTCACTCTCCATTATGTAGGGTGCACTGATGTAGATGTATTGTAGAGGGCAAAGACGGTGATCGCAGTGAGGAAGGGTTGGCTGATGTTGCCCAAAACTGCTTGGAATGAAACAGCGCGCCAATATTGTTGGGAGCTGTGCTCAACTTGAGCTGTGATTTGACTTGAGCTTGGCTCCCAACGTTGTTGGGGCAAAACATTTAAAGAAAACGGGGCTTAATGGTGTATGCATCAATTTGCTGATACCGTTTATTATTGTTAAAAATCCATACATTTATAAACACTATAGTGTAGTGTGTTTGGTAAAATACTAAATAAACTTCTTCAATTATTACGTCATGTTTCAGCATAAGTCTGGCTACATCATGTTCTACTTGGTCTTTAGTGTGATAGCCATCGTGTTAATACTCCTAGGCATATTCAGTTCTCAAGGTCTCTATTTCCGACTCTTCATGGTAGCCATCATGAGTAAGTATAGATTATAATAAATCCTGCTTAACCACCCAATTAATCCTCTTCTATATACAGGGTTAGTAAAAAGTGTGGAGACCCCCTGTTATTTTTTTTAACGGCCCATACTATAAAAACTAAACTCGGCACACCATTATGGCATGTTATGAAATACTTTTTGGGCATAACCGCCACTTGGTGTACATCCCTAAAATGGGGGATTTTGGGCCAAACTAAAAAAGTTCAAATACAAAGACCTATCGAGTGACCCCTCATTTTGAAGGTCCTGATAAAAGAAAACCAACAACGCAAACTAGAGGTCTCTATCTCAGTTAAGTACAAAATGGCAGCCAATTGAAATTCTCATAAGTTCCCAAACCCAAAATGGGGGATTTTGGGGGAAACTAAAAAATTTTAAATGATAAGCCCCATCGAGTGACCCCTCATTTTGAAGGTCATAATAAAAGAAAACTAACAACGCAAACTATGGGTCTCTATCTTAACACAGTAAAATATGGCAGCCAATTGAATATAAAATTGCAAGTTATTTCCGATTTCTAAAGATTTCAATCAGCTTCCATTTTTTACTGGATTGAGATAGAAATCTCTAGTTTGCGTTGTTAGTTTTCTTTTAACAGGACCTTCAAAATGAGGGGTCACTCGATGGGGCTTATCATTTAAAACTTTTGAGTTTCCCCCAAAATTCCCCATTTTGGGTTTGGTAAGTAAGTAGCTATTAGGCTTAAAAAGTACTTCATAACTTGCCAAAAAGGTGTGTAGAGTTTAGTTTTCCTAGTGTGAGCCGCTACAAAATTTAAAGGGGGTCTCGAGACTTGGAAAGCTGTAAGTTAAATTCAACTTCTGAGAATTCAGAAAATCAGAAAATCAAAAATCACTTTATTCACATATATAAATACAGGAATACATTATCAGGGTAAGAATAGTATTCCCCCGAATGGACTGCAAGTCCGTGCTCGAGGGAAGAGCTCTTACCAGCAGGAAATAAGTTTTGGTTATTGTCCATAGGTCAAAAAAATGTGCACACTGTTTATAAATAATGTGTACATCTGTACTTAATACGTATCAGGAGCTTTTAATAAATGTATATATATGCTATATAAATATATTGTATACTAGAATTAATTAACAATAAACAGCCTTAAGCAACAATAAAAATATTAATCTATGAAGAAAAATTTATTTTGATAGCTATTATGGCGGCGTTTGATGTCAGAGATTAATTTAAATGTAAGGCGAGCGAATTAAAGCCTCTGCAGCCTCTCTTCCCACAGTCATCAGCCACTCACAGACCTTGCTTTTATACACAGCGACACTGCCTGATTCAGCATCATTTATGTTGGGCGGCAAGTTGCGATAAAGGATGTGAGCTATGTAAAACACGTTATTTTTCAAGGAACTATATGCTAGTTGTGGAGTGCGGTATCCAAAGTTATGCCTGTGTCTAGTGTGATAACTGTGTTGTAAGTTAGAAAAAATAATTTCCTTGTTGTTCTTAATGAAAAGTAATAGTGTTTTGATAAACAATTGTCTAATATTTAAAACTGGGAATTCGGAAAAAAGTAAACTTGTTGAATAATGTTTTGGCCTTTTAAGAATAATTTTGATTAAGGTTTTCTGGGTTACGTGAAGAGGAGCCAATGTGGCAGCAGATACACCGCCCCACGCCAGTATGCCATACTGCAGCACAGACTGCACGTATGCATAGTAAACGTATCTGCAGTGATCAACCGTTAACACACGGCTTAGTTGATAAAAGGCGTAGACCAGTTTCCTCAATCTTTGCTTTACATAGATAATATGAGGAGACCATGTCATCCTTTGATCAATGATCACCCCAAGGTACTTGTATTGGTCCACACGATCGACTGTGTCACATCCGCAGGTATTAGACCACAGATCGCCACATGAATGAAGATAGAGTTTTCTAGGGCCAGGGTCACGAGTTCGAGATAAGAAAACTGGCATGCACTTGGTTTTTGATACATTCAATGTCAATGTGTTATGATCCAGCCAATTTTTTATTTTAAGTAAGTCAGATGCAGCTTGATGGTAGACATCATCCCACGTATTACCCGAGGACACTACCGCTGTGTCGTCAGCAAAAAGAAACAATTTACCATTGACTCTTAATTTAGTAATGTTATTGATATATATTAAAAAGAGAAGAGGGCCTAGGTTACTTCCTTGGACGACACCATAGTCAATGTTAGTGATATCACTATTTTCGCCATTGATAGTAACGAACTGTGATCGACCAGTCAAATAGCTGCGGAACCAGTCAAGTGATGGGTTGTCAACGCCTATCAACTGCAGTTTTGTGATTAATTTATGCCTATCAATAGAATCGAATGCTTTTGCCAAGTCTAAAAAGGTTACAAGCACACGTTTTTTATCATCAATTTTTTCATAAATATGTTTTGAGATATTAAATAAGGCATGGGTAGTGCTTACGTTAGCTCTGAACCCAAACTGTGCGTTGTCAATGATATTATTTTCCTCGAGGTATCTATACAACTGTTGCTTGACACATTTTTCAATTATCTTGGATACCGCACTAAGTAAAGAAATAGGTCTGAAATTTGATATCACATTCTTTGGGCCTGATTTATAGATCGGGATTACTTTGGCGATTTTGTAAGGATTTGGAAAAGTATTAGTTGATATACTTAAATTTACAATGTGAAATAAGGGTTGGTGTAAGACGTCTAGATTATGCTTTATCAGTTTAGAGGAAATGTCATCATACCCAGGTGCCGAGTTTCCTCTGATTTTGGTGACCACGTCTAGTAAATCTTGATGGGTAATTGGTTGCAGTGAGAACTGGGAGTTCACAGCAAAATCAGCATCCTCTATTTCGACACGACCAACAGGCTGCAAAGCCCCGGCTAGCTGGGATCCGACGGAAGCAAAGTATTTGTTAAATTTATCACAGATGGAGGGGACAGTGTCGCTGTGCGCGCCAAATGCGCCGACTGGAAATTTGCATTTGGGATCTGCGCGGCCCGCTACTTCGTTCACTATATTCCAAAATTTCTTTGGATCTCCTTGAGCGTCATTGATTTTATTTTTGTAAAAATCGTATTTTGCCTTTTTTAGTGTAGATTTTAATATGTTTCTGTATCTAACATAGCGCGCACGCAGTCTAGTATTAAAGGGGTGTTTATTGGCTAGTCTACTTAATTTGTCCCGATGACGTATTGATTTTAAGAGACCGTTAGTTATCCACGGTTTTATCTTGAACGTTTTAGCGGTAGTGGTAACGGTAGATGAATTACGTTCAACAATGGTAATAAGTATATCATTAAAGATTTTTGCGGCAGAATGGACATCTATTGATGTATAGATTAGATCCCAGTTTTGAACGAGGAGATCTTGCCTAACATGTTCCCAGTTGATTGATTTTTGAGAGTGGTTGTTTACTCTCGGATTTGTTTTGGCGGTACTTTTAATTTCGAGACAAATACTGTAGTGGTCTGTGACTGAGGTCTGTAGGACGGCTGAGTTGGCTGTAAAGTTGGGCGGAAGTTTGACAAAGTAATGATCTATACACGTGTTACTTATTGGCCTTGTTACTTTGTCTATACACTGGATGAATCCTAGGTCACTCAGTATGTCTAAGTAACGGTCTTCCAAAGAATTTAATTGGGGGCTCAAAATGTCACAGTTGATGTCACCTGCAATTATTTTCATGCTAGAACAATTTGTTGAATTTGTTATATAATCATGTAAGCTATCAATAAAAATTTGCAAAGACGAAGCAGGACTGCGATATATGGCAGTTAAGTTGCAATTCACGCCTGCCCACGTAAAAGTCAATGAAAGACTCGTAGCGACAACGCCAATCAATAGCTGGTGACAGGAAGTTGATAATGAATTATCTATGTATATTACTATTCCATCGTTCTGATTCAAGTTGTTGTAGCTTCTAAATATGTTATAGCCATCAATAGCCAACAAATCACTATCATCATTTAACCAAGCTTCAGTCAGAATAATACAATGAAATTTGTTTTTTATACCCTGAAGTGTTAATAGTAGGTCATCTATGTTTTTATTGTAGCTCCTGATATTTTGATGAAAGACTCTAAACTTACAAAACGAGTTACTACTATCTAAATTATCATCAAATAATTTGTGATTCGGATTAACAATTTCTTTACAAATAACAAAGGGAGATTCATCGTAATCTATGTTCATTATCGGACAGAACTATCGCTCTGCCAGCCAGAGGCGCAGCGTGCCGTCAACGGTATTCGTCAAGTACAATGGGGAATGTATTGAATGTTTGCGTCAAGTCAACAAGGACGAAATCTATTGTTGCTATCCAACTATTACATAGCTATACTATGGAATAAATTCCAAACTATTTAGCTATTTTAAATATCAAATCGTGCTGGATTTCAGAAAATTGTTTGGCTATTCGAAATAAAATCATGAACTGAATTCCAGAAAATAATGAAATAATTTGATATGTAAAATATTTGATTAAATATGCTGATTACATATTTTAGTTAAGGAAAGTATTTTCAAGGAATTATAACAAAGATTAATTCAAATACTCTGATAAATAGTGGAATGAGAATTTGACAGTATTCGAATGTAATTATTTGGATACCCTAGTTAAATAATTATATGAGTCGGCTAAGTCTAACTATCTGAGCAAAAAATAAATTTTTAGACAAGGAAATGCCGATATATATTAATTAATTATGGGAAAAACAATTCTCAACAACAATCCTTCTTAACAATGAGCTCAGTTACTCTAAAAAATAGGAAAGTCAATAATACATTTTAACTAATGCACGCGATAAAGTAATAAAACGATTTGTTTAAATACATGATATACTAAAAAGTTAAATAATGTAATAATGCAAATGAAGTACACTTTTTCCCATAGGTTAGGCCAATAATACAGTAAAATAACAATTAAAGTGATAACATAAATTAATACAAATCAATATGAAAATGATTACGAGATGGAAATGCAATTTGCAAATGTGTTGGTACTGCAGATTAGAAGATATCCAATTTAATATCAAGACAATAAGGATTGATAGTATAATGAAGTAAAAAAGTTACTTTACATTAGATTGGTCGAAAACTTAGATTATGTGAGACATGTCAAATACCTGATGTATAAATAGTTAATCTATGCGTCAGTGTTAGTGGTCTGGGTTGCTGTCGGTGACCTTGTCGCGGGTGATGTCTCTGTTGACTCGGGTGACGGTGAGCTGTGGTCGGTGGTGGATTTGCCTCGCAGTGACGTCACGCTGTCTAGGTGTTGGAGGCTGGTTATTCGAGTCGGTCGTCCCTTGGGTGTTGTTTTGACGAGAACTCGGCCATCGGACGTCCAGACAGACTCCAGTTTCCCTTCCTTGAGTAGGTCGCGTCCTTTGTTGAAGATTGTTCGCGTGTGAGGAGCTAAATGTTCATTTATGTAGATTTGCTGATCTGGGAAATTCGGGCGTAACTCCGATGCCAGTAGACTTCTTCTGAAACGTCTCGCTGCTATCCATTCGTTTTTGACGATGCGTGACACAAAAGAAATTATAATGGGCTGTGTTCTGTCGTCCCTGTTTTGGCTCGGAAGCCAGTGTGCCGCGTTAATGTTCGAGCGATAATACGGGACATTGATAAGCTCCGCGATATGTGCTATCACCTTGAACACATCTGATCCTCTCGGCAACTTTGGCACACCTGAAACGATTACGTTATTTTTCCGTAGATGTTGTTGAAGATCAAGCAAGTCCTCCTGAGTTTTGGCTAATTCTTCAGAAATACGTTTGTTATCTTCAAGCAGTTGTTCGACGTCCTTCTCGGTATTACTAGCTTGTGTTCCGACACGGGTAACTTCCCCCTTTAAATCACGTATTTCACTGTCAATGCTGTTAATGTCCGTTTGCATTTGGTCCAGTTTGGTATCATTGCGGTCCCATCGCGAGTTCATTTCGGAACGAAGTGCGGCAATAGCGTTTAATACAGCTGTTTGACCACGATCTGATTCAACACTTTCACCGGTCCTTGGTTCAGACGGAGTTCCAAAAGAACAATCTTCACACTTCCAGGTCTTGGGAGATTTCTTCTTGTATGTGTCTGCGACGCAAGTAATGTGGAAAATTGATTGACAGTCCGCGCATTTACATCCGTCCCGAGTTTGAACAATATCGTTTTCACACTTTTGACACTTCATTTCGATAATTTAGAATATTAATGTTAACAGATCAACGCGTGGGTTCACTGGAAACACTGAAAAAAGATAACAAGTGAACTGGTATAAATCACTCAGTTAGAGACAGCAACCACGCACTGGCCGACAGGCGATTTCTAGGTTAGAGCGCTATCGGCAGGAGCTCCGATAAACCGATCCGTTCGCATCGACTGCACGATAAGAACTGTGATTTCAATTGGCTGCCATTTTTTACTGGATTGAGATAAAGACCTCTAGTTTGCGTTGTTGGTTTTCTTTTACTAGGACTCTCAAAATGAGGGATCACTCGATGGGTCTTTGTATTTGAAATTTTTGAGTTTCCCCAAAATCCCCCATTTTGGGGATGAACACCAAGTGACGGTTATGCCCAAAAAGTACTTCATAACATGTCATAAAGGTGTGCCGAGTTTAGTTTTTATAGTATGGGCCGTTAAAAAAATAACAGGGGGTCTCCACACTTTTTACTAACCCTGTATATAAAATCCAATGTATGTTTGTTTGTCCTTTATGGACTCCGAAACCGCTCGACAGATTGTAATAAAACTTTCAGGAATTATTAAGCATTATTCAAGGATGGTTTGTGTGAAGTTTGGTGCAGATCCGTCAAAAGGGCTCCGCCCCAGTGGCTCTGGGGTTTCCCATGTTAACCTTATGAGTATTCATATTTAAATGGAATTAAAGAATCCTAACAGCTGGTTTAACTAAAGAATTTGATTCTGTGATGTTCAATAGCATTAACATGGTAATAGGTTTACCAACAGGGTGCAGCACAATTTTTTTTTTTATATTTATAACAACAGCTAATTTGCAACCAAAAGGTGAGTGAGCGTAGCGAACGAACTTCAACCTGGAGGTGAGTTAGCGTAGCGAACGAGCTAACCTGAAGGCAAGTGAGCGCAGCGAACGAGCTCCAACCTAAAGGTGAGTGAGCGTAGCAAACGAACTTTTACCAGGACGTGATTGAGCCATGCAAACGAGCTCATCTTGAAAATGAACGAGCATTTGACATAAAACCACATTAGGACAGGACGACGTCTGTTGGGCCAGCTATTGATTTATATAATTGGACACAAAATACAGCTATGCAAGAGTAATATTAGCTCTTACAAATATCTAAGCCTGTCAGTACTTTACTAAAAAAGATTTAATACTTGCTATTAGAGCTAAAAATGATTAAATAGGTGTAATAAAATCATTGACTAACCCATTGAGTTCCACGAGTTAACAAAAATTTAACTTGAATACATCTATATTTTTTCAGTCATCCATCTGTACTTGACTTGGGTAGTCTACAGCTTCTACCTAGAGCTGTGTGATCCTACAAGACCCTCTTCTCCGTCAAAGGATGCTATTCCTGAACAAAACACGGAGGGGCAAGTGCCGATGTTAATCTCAAAGGGAAATCCTTGAGAAATTCACCTCCAGAAATTAATGTCAAACCCTATACATAGCTCATATGTAGGTCTGCTTGATCTAACTTTGTGTTTTTCATATTTTTACAATAAACTATGTGTATAAATAACTTTATGTACAAGGACCGACTTTTATATCAGGCTGTCTTGTAATTGATCCCATAGAAATATAAAGACATGTACCGTATGATACTTAAGTGTTTGTAGGATTAAATTTTTATATTTTTATTGGCTTTTGTTTCATTTCTGTTGACTGGCTTTATGCATTTCATTCTCATAGAGTAGATGTATCCACCTTAGTCAGTGGTATCGTGGGGCGCGAATGCGTGGCGCCAAGGCATTCCCACTCTGCTTAAAGAACCTATATTGTCAAGCCACCTATATTTTTCTGTGAATGTTGAGTGTTCCCACACTGGAAAATTTACGACTATACCACTGACCTTAGTTACCTCCAAGTAAATCTTAGGGTATAGGTAGCGTTTTACAGACCCCAACATGACCTACTACACGTGAAAAAGGACAATGACTTAAAACAATTAAGCTTTCACACACTATCTCCATCCTAAGTTATTGACTAAATACAGCCAATTTGTCGCACCTAAATCACCAACGCAATGAAATTCCTAGTCAGAGAAACCAATTTTAAGTTTATTCTTGGCATGGGATCTATTTTAAGTATGAAACCAAATTTTATTTGACTATAAATTATAGGTCCTTTGAATGAACATTGGAAATGAGAAATTTAATTTAAGATATTTTTTACAGGGTTTGGTGCATTAATGAAAATTTATATAGGTAGGGAATGTCAGATGAACGACAGGATGCGAAATAGAGTTTTAAACCTTGGATAGCTTACATGATGGCTGATGGTAGTTACAGGGTCACAGGGTTTAGATTAAAATTCAAATTTTACAACATAAGCGTCTAGGCAGCCAGTGAAACTCCGAGGATCGTGGATCAGATCGGAAAACCCCCCACCACCGCTCCGTGCCGATGGCGTGACGTCAACCATTACCGCAATGATACGGAGCTGAGTCATGAGCCCTGGTGGTGTATAGTGGATACCGTGTCGGGCTGATAATCTAAAGGTACCGGGTTCGAATCCTGCTGGTAGCACTAACTTTTTGTCAACAATTTTTTTCATATCGGCAAGTTTGGTTGGTTTGGTTAGGTTATGACAGTTTAATTTTATAATTAAGAAGTTAAAAAATTGAATTTGAGACATTTATAATTTTATTTTTAGTACAGAACTATTTTTTTTATTAGTAAACCTTCATTTGAGTTTTTCATTAGCAAGTTTGGTTAGATGCTGATGCGCCGGTATAATTCGGAACCGTACGACATGGTGCGGTGGTGAGGGGTGTTTTATCCACTGTTTGAGTTGCACTGGCTGCCTTGACGCTTGTTTATACAACCCCACTATATTGAAGTATGTTGGTTGAACAAAATAACAACTTATTAAAGGAGTAATCGACTGGGAAATGTTTAAAGAATGCTTTCATGAAAATTTTCTCCTTCCTCGCCAACTAAAAGATAAAACCCAAATTGATGAGGCTATCGATTTGTTTGTCACTTCCATTCGTCTCTTAGGAGAACAAGCAACGGTTTGTCAGTTTAAACCTAACAAATTGTTTTCCTCGATTCCTCGATACATCCTGTCCCTTATTAATTTGAAGAATAGACATAAGATTATGGCAACGCAACAGAACTCCTTCTTTTCACAGGAGACATAATCAACTTATTAGACGAGTCAAATAGGAATTAGACCGATTCAGATACAAATCTTATAACAAATATGTATCAAATCTGTCCTCTGATGACAACAACTCCTTATGGCTCGCAACTAAACGAATATTGAGAGAACGCACCCCAATACCCAGTTTAATAAACAATGGTCAGGTGTATGAAAGCAAAACGGACAAAGCTAATGTTTTAGCCGATTACTATCAGCGTTCATTTCGTCTGAATGATGAATTTCAAGACCCTTGAATTTTCAGCTCATGTTGCCACAGTTAATTCTTGCCCACTTATCACGGTGGAACGGCCAATTAAATATACTTCTCCATCTGAAATCTCTAACTTCTTCAAGTCGCTAAATATCAAGAAAACTCCTGGATACGACGGAATACCTAACATTATTTTACATAATCTACCACGAAAAGGACTTGCTTTCCTTGCTTCTCTGTTCAATTCCTGTCTCACAAAATCATACTTCCCACAATGTGGAAATATTCTCTCATAATTGTCATCCACAAACCTGGAAAACCTGCATCGCAAGTAAATAGTTATCGTCTGATTAGTCTCCTCCCCACATTGTCTAAATTGTTTGAAAAAATCATTAAACAACGCCTAGACTCCTAGGTAGATAGTGCTTCTCTGATACCTCCTCATCAGTTTGGTTTCCGCTCCCACCATTCCACGACACATAAACTTTTGAGAGTTTCTGAAGACATCATTAAAGGATTTGAAAGAAAATGTCATACTGCTGCAGTGTTTCTTGATGTAAGCCAGGCCTTAGACCGTGTTTGGCACGATGGCTTGTGGTTTAAACTAAGAAAGTTCGGAGTCCCCTCCTACCTACGGAGAATTATTGAAAGCTTCCTTGAAGATAGAACGTTTTCAGTTAATATTGATGGCTCCCTATCAACTGCCAGACCAATTCAAGCTGGAGTCCCACAGGGCGCAATTCTTTCACCTCTATTATATAATATTTACACTTCTGATTTGCCATTGTCAAACCATTTCCAAACAGCCGTGTTTGCTGATGACACCCTACTCTACTCTACACACCATGACATCGAAGTTGTGGCCAATAACATTCAGTTTTCTAATTTGTGTATTATTCCAGCTTCAAGAACGTAATTCAAGTTTCCTTAAACGATTTGATGGAATGGTTCACAAAATGGAGAATAGCCATAAATCCGAAGAAGAGTGAAGCAAAGATTTTTACCCTCTGAAAACCGTTAGATCCTCCAAATTTAGAAATTCTAGATGAACAGATTGCATGGAACCCTCCTGACCAAGCAATAAAATATTTAGGTGTATACTTCGACCAAAAGTAAAATTTGAAATTTCTTATTAATCAAAAATTAAATTTAGCTTATGGCAGATTATCAAAATTGTTTCCTTTAATCAACAAAAAATCATGTATGTCTATTAAGAATGGAACCCTTCTATACAAAACACTTCTACGTCCACTATTTTGTATGGTCGCCATTTCATCAAAAAGTATTAAAGTAAAGTATTAAAGTTGTACGCTTGCCCAGTATATGGGGAACTGCTTCATCAAGCTCGATTCGTAAACTGCAAACGTTTCAAAATAAAGTTTTAAGGATAATTCTAAAATGTCCCTGGTATGTTTGAACCCGTCAAATACATTTAGAACTGGTAATAAAACCTATAGAAGGTTTCATCAAGAAAATTACATCAAAATTATTTACAAAACTTCCATTAACCAGCAGCATTGGATTTTATAACACAGGCCAACCTTCTGAAATCCAGAGACTCCGACTATAACCCTTATTGCCTCAAGATGTTTTATTATAATAACCATTTTTTTTTCATTTGTGTTTCATTGGTGGACAGCGCCTTTACAGTCCGACCCGCTAAAACAGTGACAATAAGTGCCTGAGGGGCTAGCCATAGCTGACCTCTACCACAGACAAGGGAAAAACTTTTATTTCCTTAGTCAATGCCTCTACCTATGTTAATGTAATTAATAATGTTATTTTTGTTTCTTATATTATACCTAACCTGTATAGCAATGTAATGCTGATCGGTTAATAAAATTGTTATAAAAAAAACAACAACAAGGAAAAAGTAAACAAAACACTTGTAACATGTGTTAAAACAAGCCCTCCACAGTATACTAGCAAATTACAAAATACAATACAAAGGGAAGAACATCAGGAAACTATTGAGCAAAGAATACACTGAAGATTACTCGATATAGTGGAAAATAGAGCGTGTTGATGAGTGTGTTGGTGATGTTTGAGTTCACTCTAGCATCAACGCAATGTTTCACTCTCATCTGAGGGTAGATTTTAAAATGTGTATGCACTCTTTTTTATAGTTTACATAATTTTAAAAGCTGTATTCAGTTGAATTAGTATTAAAATTGTGTTATAATAATCTTTATAGGAAATCATATAAGCTACGCTTGAATCAGACATATCTGTCTTTAGCTAATCCATCATACAAGAGTATTTAGAGAGTATGCTCATGCTGAAATTTAACTTTTACTTAAAGAAAGATTATTTAGTTTAGTACCAAGAAATAAATCACAAACCCTTACATACGCTGTATTAATGTTACTGTGGCTGAATGCTACTGTATTATCCTGTGATTGTATATTCACTACTCGGTTTGTAAAATGAGGTGCCGGAACTGTTACCTATTTAATGTCATTTGTACCTATTTATGTAAGGTATCTATAATTGTCAGTTTTTTTTTATCTTCCCAAAAGAGAGCTACCGGAACTCTGTTCCACCGCGTTTCCCCGCAAATTGAGCACTGTGTTTAATAATTCCTACAAAGGAACTAAAACCAAAAACCCCTGTAGTAGCTGAATTTATTCATTACTGTATCACAAATTACTATAATCTTAATTAGTCATAGCTGACTAAAAAATAACAATAAGCTTGTAAAGAACAACCACAAGAAGCCCAGGGGGGAGCCCCCCCCCCTTAAAGCTGTAGAGATGGTGCTCCACCTCGCGAGCCAGCCTCACCATATTGCACAATTTTCTCATGGTGTTCAAATGGTATCTATTTTGTGGCCATCCCTTGACCCATTGGCTTAACCAATGCTGTTTCCCCATGGGGATTCTGAATGGCACATTAATTGGCTGAAAATGGTGAATGGAAGGTTGAGGAAGGCATGTAAACGTTTTGAGATCGCCCTTTGATTTATCGGTCTGCTAGCGTAAAGCACGACTACATGAGCTCCTAAAATAAAATAATTTAACAAGATATAGCAACAAGTTATATAATTTGTTACTAACTATAACTCAAGATAGCCGTAGGTATTGAAAAAACAGGGTGACATAAATCAATTATCTTTAGGAATTTACTTTATTGAACTAAAAATGTTACTGCTAATTTTCCCCTACTAAAAAAAAGAATGGCACCAGTCCAGGCTGGTCAGGTGAGAGATATGTACTACTGTATACTCATATTACAACGACCTGGAGACCAAAATTTTACAAGATTTTTATTTTAACGAGAAAAAGATACCTAGTGAATTCCATTTAAATCTGGTATAGATCGAGGGATCCATAACTATCCTACGGCCAATCCTCCAAATTCCAATTCATTGACGTTACAATGGTTCTCTTTTAACCTCATAAAGAAATCACGTTTATCGGTGACGAGTGTTGTCACAATTGCGAAAGACGATCACAGTATCGCCGGCCGAGACCCCCGAGATATGGTACCTAACGATGCAGCGATTGCGGGAGCGAGACGATTGCGTTATTGTCGAGACCGCCTGAACACAGTAGAAGTGATAGTGAAGTTTAAAGGATCTTGAGAGACGATCACGGTATCACAGAGACCGCAAGATATGGTGCCGATGAGTGTTGCCGGGCGATTACGGGAGACGATCGCGGTATCACCGAGAGAGTAAATAATAAATGAAGACTTGTAACGGTAGTCTTTGTAGTAACCGAATTAAACCCATACGATCAACAACCGAATGAGTGTTATCCGATAGTTATAACCTTGAACCTACCACTCGCTAGACAGTAGACAGACGCAGGCTCCAAACAAAGTTGGATAGATTTAGTGACGGCTACACGTGGGATTCGAGTAAGGAGTAAGTCCAATTGCACATATTGTAAACTGTAAAAATAGCCATGAATGTAAAAATCGTTATCTTGTTTGTTAAATTCATTTAAAAGCGTGTCCACAAAAGAGGTAATCTCCATTCTCCAGTAATTTCTTCTAGGTAATCAAAAAAATTGTAAAACGGAAATAGTACTGTCAATCAATCTATATTGCTAATAATAGTTGGACAATTTTATTCATTGTATTTCATCTTTTCAGTTCCTTCCATCAAGGAAGGCATAGAGTTAAAAGGCAATTGAAATTGATAATGATAGCCATTAGAATTTTGTTTAAGTTATGTGATTTTCGCTAGTCGTGTAATTCTAGATTTAGATCAAATTTAAATGTTTATAATCTTTTCGTAATGCATAGTGTAATTTTTTTTATTATAACCTATCAAAATACACCTAAGTTATACATGGACATGGACAAATTGTAGACGAGATAACAAAAATACAATGATGTTAACTGAGTTATGAAGTAGGGTAAATTTACATGGACCTTACTCTTTGGAATAGTTAATTTTACATCTAACACGCCCATGGAAAGAATGAGTTTGGACTAAAAAAGCCGTAATGTATCCAAAGTTAATGGTATAAGAAACTTCTGTTTGGCGGCCTTCATTTATCACACAATTGCGCAGTTTATTATGTATGAGTCACGGAGTCACGTGACATAATTATCTGATTTATCTGCTGAGCAGTGAGAAGTGAGCAGTGGCCAGTGGCCAGTAGACTGTACCATAGATTAAACATACTACTGTACGCAGGCTTAAACTACTTGTGAAGTCGCTTCTACTTTGCCCAAACTGTCAGGTACGGTACCTTAGTTATTTACTGAAGTCTGAAACACTCTAAGTAAAGAAATGATGTAAGACGTCATAATATAACATGGTGTAGGCCTACAAAACACATACGTATTGTTCACCATGGATGTAGTTAAATTTGCATAACTATTTACGGGTTTCCTCAAGTTTCAATTAGATTGAGCCATTCTTGTTCTTATAGTTTATGTTTGTTTATTATTTTTTTTTTTTTGTAAAATGTAAATTCCGATTACGTTTTGTCATAGATAAAACATATACTCCCTTAGTATATTAGTCATCCTTATGGATCAGCTGAATGCTGAAGACAATTTTATTTTTAGTTCCAACCAGTGCCACTAGGTGTTTTTGTTAACAATTTGTTTCTACCAAATGAAATGGTCTAATCATAAATAATTAAATTGACTCATGGCACTTGACCGATAGCTACTATCCTTTTATCAAGACCCCACTACACTACAGGTTTATAATACATATATTTTACTAGTTTATTTTGACGATCAGGGGCAGTTTTATCGAAGCGTGACACCAAACCCCGCTTTATCCCCGTGTATTGCTGGCGCTGAGCACAGAAAACATACTAGTATGTTTTCTGTTCGCTGAGTTTCGGCGACTTGTGTGACGTCACCGCGGCTTGACTCCGGTCTGTAGTGTAGTGGGGTCTTGCTTTTATCTATGCTAATAGCCTAAGTTCAAAACATTGTGTGCCGTAATGCGTGTTGCGTTATCTGTCGTCGCGACCCACGGGAAGGCACTCAAGTACATGAATGAAACACGGGAAGTAAACCCCGTGAGTCAGCGGAAATGTTTGCATCGTTCGTTCTCGTGATGTTAAGTCCAATTAGCTGAAACCATTGACTAATATATACCTACAGTCACGGGTATACCTACCTATACCTTACCTATCTTTTAATATATAGGTATATATAGTCAATGCTGAAACCCTACTGGACTGAGACTGTTTTAGGACGATATGTTCTCTTCAGCGCGGGAATGTTTTCAATCTGGTCTTTTCCTTGCCTCTACCCTCTCCCCGCCAACAACACTGCCCGCTCTAGCTCTATGCCCAAGTGTCAAATAGAGGTCGATGGTGTCAGCTTACGTATAATCAGCTGTACAAAGGGAAGAGGAGTCCCCTGCCTTTGTTTATTTGTTGGGAAATAAACAAACATGACTAATCATATTTCTTGTGATAAGAATGATAATTCTCCATTTGCCACTGTACAGTGTACATCAGCAAAAGTCAACAATCTACCTACTATATTATCTTTAACAATAATTAACAAGACACAAAAACATAAAAGATAACTGTTACCAGAACACAATGCTCTTTACTTTACATAAACCAAATCTTATATTAAAAAGAAGGAATACCTCTATATTTCTTAACATATTCAGAATTAGAACATCAATAACTGTAAAATAATAACATTGAGGTAATTCATCTTCTGAACATTTCCAATGAAGTCATAAAAACGTTTCAATTACAGTACACAGCTTGTAACTATTTGAGGGGGTTATTTTCGGCTCAAATTAATTATTTCAGCCCTTTCTGAGAATAATGTATTCTCCCTTGGTTTAAAAAATCTCCCTTTTAGTAGTTATCTCTGTATCCTAAAAAAATGTAATCAGTCGTGTTCAAGGTGTGTTAAAAATTAGCAAGTTTCATTTTAAAATTATTTTAACAAAGTTTTACTTATTTATTTGTCTACATTGATATTTGCCCTACAAAGAATTCCCGTTAGAATATGCACCTGTGCCAGCGCTTCTTCCAATCCCTGAAACACTTCTTAAATTGATCTTTGAGATAGACTTAAGTACTTTCAACTATGTACTTTTAATGTCATTTACACGGCTGCAAAAACGACCCACTGGGATGATTGCACCTAGTTTCCACGTCATATCCGTAAACAAACCTGCATGTGTCGTCACCTGTACGTTTAAGAAATTCTGCAACGTCGATTCATTTGGTGACTCCTAAAGCAACATTTGCATCTTTTTTTGTCATTATTTCAATAATTTTGGAGTAAATGCTGCTATTACGTGTTCACATTCAAAATATAGGTCTAAGACACAAAGCACAACGTTATTAATCTCACTTTTGCTTGTGATCGGAAATGGTTGCATTGCAATATTTGTAAACAACATTTAATGTAAACATAATATATATCAGTGACAGCTAGAAAGTATAATCTTGATTTAAACAGCTGTTCGTTATTTCATAGATGAAGTACTTTCCAAACAGATGATTAGTATTTCAAATGGTGTAGCCTATGTGGTAAATACAGAGTTAGGCAAAAGTCTGGAACCCCCCAGTCAACTTTTTAACGCGTTGCAGTAGGAAAACCAAACTCGGCGAATATTTACAACATAAGAAATTTCACTTTTTCATAAAAGTTACAACTTTGCCCCAGCCCCCAAAATGGGGTTATTTTGGGGCAGCCCCAAATTTTCACAAGTAAACACCTATCATGTGACCCCTCATTTTAAAGGGTTTATCAAAAGAAATTTAATGGCGCAAACCAGAGGTCAATATTGCACCTCTAATCAAAAAGGCAGCCATTTTAATTATTTAAGATGAGCAAGCAAGATAAGGTCTGGACGCCCCCAGTTTAGGCTACAATTTAATATTTTAATACTGACCAAAAGGTGAATTCTTTTTTTTATAAAGGTATGCCGAGTTTTAGTTTTCCTGCTATAACCTGTTAAAAAGTTAGGGGATATTTCAAAATGACTGCCATTTTGATTAGGGGTGCGATATTGACCTCTAGTTTGCACCATTTAATTTGTCTTAAGAAAACCCTTTAAAATGAGGGGTCACATGATAGGTGTTTACATTTGAAAATTTGAGGCTGCCCCCCAAATTACCCCATTGTGGGGGCCGGGTATAAGTTCTAACTTTAATGAAAAAGAGCATTTTTTATGTTGTAAAGATGTGCCGGGTTTGGTTTTCACACTGCCACACATTATAAAGTTAACTGGGGGTGTCGAGACTTTATTTTGCTTGCTCATCTTAAATTTAAATGTCTGCCGTTTTGATTAGGGGTTCGATATTGACCTCTGGTTCGCGCCATTCAATATTCAATTTCTTTTGATAAACCCTTTAAAATGAGGGGTCACGTGATATGTGTTTACATTTGAAAATTTGGGGCTACCCCCAAAATATCCCATTTTGGGGGCTGGGGCAAAGTTGTAACTTTGATGAAAAAGTGCAATATCTTATGTTGTAAATATATGCCGAGTTTGTTTTTCCTACTGCAACTTGTTAAAAAGTTAACTGGGGGGTTCCAGAATTTTGCCTAACCCTGTATATGGAGAAAACTGACAAAAATTGCACAAAATTGGGTTTTGGAACGTCCGTTATTTTATTTAGAAAGTAGTGAGGCCATATTTTAATGGCTTTACCTAACCCGCCATGTTAAACTTCCCTATCCTAAGCGTGATGTATACAACTTCCTTACTTCTCGAGTGATGTAAAGTATCAAAAAACTCACTCGGTGATGTAATGAAACCCATTTAAATAACATTGAGTGGATAACTTAAAAAATATAACTCTATGGAGCCAACGACGTTTAACGCTAGAAATCAGCTGTGTGCTTGAATTTTATTGTTATTGTTATGTTTTGGAGAATTTTCCTAACCTAGCTTTTGTTTGTAAATGAACCTTACTGTTATAAGATGAGTGAAATGGGTAATGAAAAATATTGTTTGTAACCTCCTGTATATTGTCGGGTCAGGTAAAATCTTGTACGTTACACGTTACGCAAGAGCGTGTTTACATCACTTAGGTAAATTACGGTATGCAACTCGCTTCGCTCGTTGCACAACTTTCACCTGCGTGATGTAAAAACGCTCTTACTACACTTGTAATGTAAATAGCTATTAAGACACTCTCTCCTATCCGGTGAATACATTAAAATGATTTAAATATTGATAGGTACTCTACTGAGGTCTTGGAGTAGGCCGCGTGCAATTTAATGTTACAGACACAAAGACAGACAGACGGACAGAAATTTGGATAAGCTTTCGGCTTTTTTAGGCTATGATACGTAAAAATAACCAAAAACTGCATGATTCTACGCAATGTACAGACAAAACTTTAATTTAATTATATAGATTTATTCTGTAAATCGTCACTGAAATATTTACCTGACAAGTTATTTCCAAAATAGATACTGGTATGCACTCTGCAGCAGCTCTGTATGAAATGAAGTAAGGTTCATTGTGCCTTATCAATTTTATACAATACTGACTAAGTATTAAAAAAGTATTAAAAAGACTATATTTTTCAGACACAATATGGCACTGATTCCACCGCTAAAAACAGCATTTTGCGGTTGCTCCAACAAAACTGGTTGCAAAATCATCGGATGGGCAACATTGGTATGTTTATATCTAAATAACTTCTTGATCATAAAATTACATCTAATAACATTTGAAATATATATTTGTACTTATAATTACTGCTGACTTACAAGATGTTTATGTACGGCACAAGGTCAATCCCTGACTATCGCCGGTTTAAATTTTGAAAATGCATGCTTTTTACACGGACAGCTTCATGTTGCGTGCTCACGTGGTGGTAGGTACCCCTAAAAACTTATTAGAAAACCCCCCAGATACACCCGATGAAAAAAAATTTGTTTTCCACTGGCAATTTAGTAAATTAAATATTCTAGTTTTGTATTTAGGATACATTTTTATTACAGGGTGATATGAGGCAGTGAAACGGCACGATTCCGATAGATGCTGACAAGGAAATAGGGGGATATTAGAGTAGGGTACAGGGGAAATGGCCATAGGTGTCTAGACAAGTGGAAATTTCAGTACCCATGGAGCGTTGGACGAGTGCACAACATGCGTTTACTGTAAAGGCATATTACAAAAAGGTGGATATTATGGTTTGTGCTCAGCGCACTTTCCGTTGTGAGATCAGTCTATCGGTGCGGGCTCCTGTGCCATCAAGGAAAGTTATCCTTTTTTGGGTGAATAACTTTAAAGCCACTGCTAGCATGACAAAGCGCTATAAAACGATTGCAAACGTTATGCAAACGCTAAAAAACTGCATGGGCTGATTTCAATTCATAATTCAACAATGTGTGCAAAACCAAGTACGTCATTATTTTACCTACACTGTATTAAAAAATATGATTATTTTAAAGGTTAAACATTAATTTCCACTCCTGCACTTAGGATTTATGTTAAAACAACTATCCTTTTTTTTCTAAATAAATTATTTGTGATTTTTAAAAATCGTGCCATTTTACTGCCCTACCCTGTATTTATCGTAAAGAACAAATTATCATTTAAAATAATAGTTGTTAGCCCATCAACGTGCTCCTGGTAACTGCTAAGTCAACTATATAATAAATGTTATTATATGGCATTCTGTTTTTCCAGGTTTTAGGTATTATAGGACTAATAGTATACATATTTATACTGACGTGGGCTTCAAACTCAATATCTAACACAAGTGACGAAGAACTGGGAGAAAAAATCATAAAATTGCTTAACAAAACCGAAACCCAGAATGTTGACATTGATGATGAAGATCATGAATTTAACCTTGAATATGTTTTGAGGAAGGTGGTTGGAAACAAATTAGATACCAATGATCCTGCAGCAATTGGCCAACATGTGAAAAAACAGCTGGCAGGTAAGGTTGTCTTAGATTTTGGTGAATCCGTAGCCCCATGGACATCGGGCCCAAGGCAGCGATGTCGCGGATCCGAATCCTGGTCATTGCCACTATACTTTTGATCAGTATAGTTCACCCTTGTACTCTGCTGAGTCACCCATGCTTGGCTGTATACGCTCCACCGTGTCGTAACACTTCGGCCCAAGTAACACTTCGGCCCAGTAACATTTCGGCCCGAAACCCTCAGATGTGGCCTACGGTCCAACTCTCTACCTGCCCACTAGTAACACTTCGTCCCAACAAAATATTTGACAGGTTAGGTTAGGTTAGGTAAGATTCCACCGATTCTCCGTCATGTGAGGTCCGAGGATGCAAGGGGTGACGGTTGGGCGACATTCCACCAGAGGGTGGTTGCAAAGTATACAGGTCATGTACCTCTTACTACCTGAACTGCGTTCCTCAACCCTTGTCAATTTTTCATTGGGCCGAAATGTTACTCCATTAGCTTATTTAATCATCTGTAAAAGCGAGTGGGACGAAGTGATACTGTTTTTCTAGGAAATTTGAGTTTGGCCGAAATGTTACTGGGCCGAAGTGTTACTACATCCGCTCCACACATGCCTTTTTGTGGCTTGTGTGGACATGCAACTTTAAAGTAGAAGCCAATGTTCAGTAAAGCAAATGCAAATGCCAACCTCTTTAAACAAAAATAATTCTGTGAGCCCATAAAATATTGAATTTCCTTTGACCCAGTGACGGATCTAGAACAGTCCTAAGGGGGGGTGAAACAGGGGGTATGGGGAGTTTCGGAGTACCCCTCTGAAAATTTTGTGCAAATTAAGTCTCCTAAATGGCAGTTTTATACCATTTCTTTGTCCAAAGTTAGTGTGACAAATTATTTTACGCAATGTGTATGCACTACAGTACTGTACTACATGCAGTAAAAATTATATATGTATGCATGCCCGAGGGGGGGGCACCACGAGTCTTAAACCTACGTCTTACCATGACTACAGCAATACTATATTCAAGCTTCATTCTGTGTTGTTTCTGCTCTCAAATTAGATGATCCCCCTGAATAGAGGGTTGTTTGTGTTAGAGGACTGTTCAGGAAGTAATAAACGTTTTGGAATAAAATAACAAGTTTGTACAAGATTAAATTTGTACTATGTACATTTTATCAAAGTGGAGGAGAAACTTTTAAATTCCTTTATTGTAGATTTCCACAGCAAGCTCAGCAACCCGGTGAGTTGCAATTGGAAGTCCTTGTAGCTATCACAGAGCTAAGCTGCTAACCAAGGCTTCATTTTTGTGCAGATAACGAGTCACTTAGAGCTAGTTCTGGCCTGTAGGGTGGGTGAATGAGGGAAAATCTCCCATTTGAATGATTGAAGGAGATTGTGTGAGTGAATTGATGAGTTAGGTCAGGCGTTGTCATGCAGAAACTGACTTTTGGATGTAAACTTTATACTCATAAGGTCGAATAAACAAGTATAAATGTAATAATTTATAGCACAGAACTGTATAACTTGAGTAGGATTTAGCCTAGATTAAATAGAAGCCATTTAATTTCCATTTACACCACTGTTACTTTATTGATCAAAAAACAAAATGACAATAGGTATATACTTTTCATTTAGTTACATCTCTGTGTCCCAGCCCTAAACTATAAAATTGAAATAATCTTACTTTATGACGATACTCTTTTGTAGAAGTCTATTCTATGACAGGAACTCCTTTGTAAAAAATACAAATGTATAAATATAACTAATATAACCATTCTAAACATAAATTTCAATTACCATTCTTTTCATACATCATGTGCTTTTTGCAAGTTATAATTATTCTTGTAACTAATTAACCACATTTAAGAATTTGAGGTAAACAAACAGTGACTATTATTTCTATTCTATTCTATTCTATGATTCTGGGGAGATTGTATCGATGCGGTTGAGGCTGGGGAGACAGTGGTGGGTTGCTTCGCCGACTTGTCAAAAGCATTCGACTGTGTCGATCATATCATTCTTTTGGAAAAATTGGCTTCAATTGGCATCTCCGGAATTGTTTTCAAATGGATTGAGTCGTACATGACAAACCGACACCAAATTACTGAAATTAGAGGAAAATCAAATCACAAAATTAAAAATGTCATGTCGACTCCTCAAAAAATCACAAGCGGAGTTCCGCAAGGATCCGTATTGGGGCCTCTCCTATTCTTGGTTTACATTAATGACATCACCAACGCGATTCCAGAGTCTGATGTCTACCTCTTTGCCGATGATACAACATTGGTCATGAAGGGTAAGGATGTTGAGACTCTGGAGGGCGAAGCAAATGAAAAAATTTCAGATCTTTCAAAATTTTTTGAAGCAAACAAACTCAGTTTAAATTCTCAGAAAACGAACTATTTGTGTTTTCAAACAGCACAAAAGCAAAATTCCAAAAATAATAGGACTCCGAACCTATTTATAGGAGAGAACCAAATTGAACAATCAAAAACGGCTGACTTCTTAGGGGTGAGGCTGGATGATAGACTCGGATGGGGCGAGCACATTTATGGATTAGAGAGATCGCTTGCTCGAGGACTATTCATCCTACGTAGGATGAGGTCATACGGCAGCGATGATCTGTCCAGGCTCGTCTATCACGGACTGTTCGAGCAGTACATTTCAAATTCCATCATTTTGTGGGGTTCTTCCACCAAAAAGAATTTGGAAACAGTTTTTGTCTGGCAAAAAAAAGCAATAAGAACCATCCTAGGCATGCCACCAGATGCCAGCTGCAGAGATGCATTCATCCAGCTTGGACTCTTAACTGTCCCATGCATATTCATCTACGAAGCAGTAGTATACATAAAATCACAACACATTCAACCTCATTTCATAGATCACAAATACAACACTAGAAACAAAGGAACTCATGCTCAACAACACAGACTAAAATTGTTTGAACAAAAACCTCACTATTCCGGTTTAAAACTTTTCCAAGCACTGCCAAAACAACTTCAAAACATTCAAAAACTCTCAAAATTCAAAACAGAAACCAAGTCTTTCCTGACAAAAAATGGTTTTTATGATGTGGAAGATTTTCTAAATTTAAAAAACAGAGCACTTTGGCCTAGGATGTGATTTTATTATAAGTTATTTTTTATTATTAGCCTATTACTGTATACCTATTGACCTGTCCAATTCCTGCCCTGGACTACGGACGGAAACTACAAGTATTCAAGTATTCAAGTAAGTAAGTAAGTATTTCTCCAGATCTATGTCCAATAGTATTTTTAATGCAAATTTTAATTACAGATTTAACTTCTAGATTATGATGGAAAATAATATTTTGTACTTATAATGTATACGAGATTTGCCTGCCATGAGATACAGAATGAATTAATGATACCAACTTTAGTGACAGAAATGAAAAAAGAAACAATGTTTCCACTACGAAAAAGTCGAAAAATTAAAATAAACCAATTATGCTTCTTACATAACTAAATTTGCTAGATTTTTTTAAAACAATATAAAAATCTGTATAACTTTTGTTTTATAATTTTGAAACAGAGACCTTTTATTTATTACATAGTTTCCCTACAATTCACAACCTTGATGATAAATCACTGTTGGTTTTAAGTGTGTGGCAAACAAAATCCTTATTACAGACCACACCTCACAACTGGTGGCATGTTCAGTTGCAGCACACTTTAAACTTTAATTTTGCACCAAACGGGCAGCAAAATGACAATATTCTAGTAATGGCTGGATAGCCATTGAGTTGGTAAAAACATGTACTAGAAAGTGTGTGATCAGTGTTCGCCAATTGGTGTCAGACGGAAATGTTCCTTACTTTCTGAACGATCCTGGTTTTCTTTATCAAATCAATAAAACCAGTTTTCAAAGAGTATTGTACTTGCAGTTATGTTCAACGTTTTGATCTTCTTGTATGTGGTCATCTTCTTGATAGAGACATTGACCACAACTACAATGCTCTATGGGGTCTACAAGGTATGTATTTTCTAAAATGTTTTTTCACAGCATTTCATTATTTTTCTTTTGGAATTGAAGGTTCTGGGATTAGGGTTCTGAACGTTGGCAAATTGTTTTAGTGCACCAGATTCATAGTGAAACCAAATAACAAAACAAAAATATTTATGAACTATTTGGAACACATAAGTCAATATTAATCCTATAAGAATTCCAATAAACACACCAATAGGGTACTGTAGTAATTTTGTGGACTATAAATATTCATCCACTTTTTCATTGAAATTTAGATTATACAGTACAAAGTTTACTCATGATACAAACACGAAATACACACAATTATATTGTTCATTACTAATTACTATTATTATTATATGCCTACATTACAAACAATCCCAGAGTCACGTATCATCTAACAGAGAGAAGTAAAGGTATAAAGGAAACTTGCCTATGGGACGACCGTGTGGTTTGTGCCGGAAATATGCTTTTGAGGAGTGATGAAGAGCCTGAGTGGCGAGCATTGTGCGGAAATTCCTATTGCACTAGCCACATGGTCTTCCTCCAAAATTGGCATGTTAGTACATGAGGGCGAGGTGTTTAACTTTGTGCTAGACACAACATACGTGTACCATTGGATGTTTCCTCTGTACTTCTCTGTAAAGCTGCTAACCCAAATATCCTCCAATGAATGTCAAGAAAACAAGCACAATTGTCGCATATTTTCATTTTACTTTCTCTGTAGTATGGGAAGAGTAGCTATTGTTTTTTCTCAAAATTTTGAGTTTGAATTTTGGCTGGAAGTTTTTTTTTTTGGGTGCTCCTAAATCGAAAAAAAAACAGTTTTCAAAGTGATGTATGTGTGCGTGTGTGGATGTGTACAGAGCTGCATACGACACCTCCTGGTGGTCCAAGTATGCATCGATTTGCTGATACGATACTGTTTATTATTATAAAAAATCCATACATTTATCTGTATAAATAAAATTAGAGTTTTGTCTGTACATTGCTCAGAATCATAAATTTTTAGGTTATTTTTACATTTTATACGTTAAAGAAGCCGAAACAAGTCTCATCCAAATTTCTGTCTGTCTTTCTGTATGTCTGTAACTTCACTCAAGTTGGCATTTTACGCAATCTTCTCCAGGAAGACGAGAGTACCTATCAAGATCCAAGTCATTTTAATGTATTCACTGGATTGGCGAGAGTGTCTTTAGCCATTAAAATATGGCCTCACTACTTTGTAAATAAAATTACGGACGTTCAAAAATGCAGTTTTGTGCGATTTTTGTCAAGTTTTCGTCATTTTTTATCACATAATCATCTATGAAATAACAAACAGCTGTTCCGATCAAGATTATTTTTTCTAGCTGTCACTATATGTTTACAAAATGTTGTTTACAAATACCGCAACCATTTCCGATCACGTTTCAAAGGCAAATCCCATCCAAATGAGATTAAAAACGTTTTTCTTACATAAAGGATTTAATTAATCGCAAGTGGAATAATATAGTGTAACCGTAAATTAAATTAAATAACTAGGCATCATCCAGGTCAGGAACCAGAGATTCTTTGTGTATAAAATTATTCTTGAGTTTTGATAACCAGAAAGTAGACATTGAATCAGTTTTGTGTACGGCTGGGAAACTTAAATTTATTAGTGATTGTCGCCAATAGCTTAGAAACAAGGTTCCACTCATTGACGGCGCTTCAATGGCTGTTGTGTAAAGTGTAAAGTAAAAAATCACAACTGCAGTGGGTGATTGTAACAGAGGTTTACGGATGATGCTAAACTCGATTTTCCACTGTGTCACTTTCTGTCCCTACCATATAGTCAATAGTTCCTACTCACCGTGTGATGCAATCGCTGGACCATGCAGCCAATAGGCCCATAGCCCATCTCTTGGGTACGTACGCCTACCCAATTATTTATAACAAAACCTTTTTGACGACGATCCTTGATACTGGTACTTTTCCCTATAATACACGGCCTACCTACTTAAGAAATAAAATTACAAACGTCCAAAAACCCAACGTTGTGTGATTTTTGTCACATTTCCTTCTAATGTTTTCTTTTCAAACTGTTACCGATAAGTTTACATTAAGAGTTGTTTACAAATAAAGCAATTAATGGGAAATAACTTTGATTGCCGATAACTTTTTACGAGAAAATCCAAAACCAAGAGATCAATAACCTTGATTAACGCATATAATTGGTCGGATGTACTATAGTTTTTAACTGTAAACGTTGGTTTTTGGTACTGGTTCTTTTCCTTTGAACCGTTGGTAGCAGCAAGAATCATTTTTACGTACCAACATATCACTGTAATTTACAAATTAGCTATCGTTGGTGTTGCACCTTATATATTACAGGTGTATTCAATTTAATTGATGTCTTAACTGTATAAGTTTTGCTTTTTCTGTCTGGATTCCAAAATGTTAGTTTATGCTAAGAAAACGATAACGCATTTTAGTGAAGCATTTATTCAGCAAACCATCATGAATTGTTCAAACGCTTTAAACGTTGTTTATGTATCAATGGTTCTTGGCCTATTTTGGTAATTTTTATTATAAATTAGGTACCATTCTAAATCGTCTATAGTACTTCATTTCATATAGCAAGCCGATTCATTTAGCATTTCGACAGAATTTCGAGTCATCTTATATCTATCTGAAAGTATGCAAACCAACTGCTGTGCTTATAATATAAGAAGGTTTTAACTGACTACGATAAGATCCCCGTGCGTAGAACGGGCACACAGCTAGTTTATGCTATAGTGTGTCTTTAGTAAAACACTAAGTAAACTTATTCAATTATTACATGTTACAGAATAAGTCCGGCTACATCATGTTCTACTTGGTCATTAGTGCGATAGCCATCGTGTTAATGTTCCTTGGCTTATTCAGATCTCAAAGTCTCTATTTCCTACTCTACATGATAGCCATCATGAGTAAGTATAGAAATATTTAATAGGCTAACATGAATGTTGTGATAAGTGTTTTTAAGCTGCAGCGCATCTGATGACCGTGTTTAAGGTATCATTGGATAGATCGTGGCCTGTAGATTTGCCACAAAACAAAAAAATCTGTGAAATTCCATCAGGGCTCTGCCCCAGTGGCCTTCAAAGATGCCATGTTTTTCTTAGGGAGAAAATGTCTGTTTACATTTTGAACAGATGAATACATTGAAATTGACACTATAATTTGAAACAGTTGGTTATACTAAAATTGAAATTAATGGAAACATGAGCTATATAGCCCAGAAAAATTAGACATATGCTCCCCAAAAAATCATCTAAAGCTGGAAAGTATTTTAGGTACTTTGCTGTTAAAGGGAACATTCATTATTATCGATGATTTTTTTCTCGATATATCGATATTAACAAATTGAAACATATCAGCTGACAATGACGAAAAATATTGTTCAGTATCAACAAACATTAATGAAATGAAACTGTTCTAAAATAAATAACCTAACATAACTAACCAAACTTGCTGTAACATTTAAAAATTCCGCGTTTAAAACTTGCCTTTTATATTCAACCCAAACGGTTATGTTTAAATGGTACACCAAGTATGGTTGGTTATGTTAGGTTAGCTTAGAACAGTTTCATTTCTTGTTGTCAATTTGTAATGGATCGGAAAACCAAAACATCGATATATCGAGAAAAAAATCATCGATAATAATGAATGTTCCCTTTAACAGGAAAGTACCGTATTTTAACACCTTTTGGGGGTCCCAAATAAGAGTCATGTGAGTTTGCGACGGATTCTGATGTCTGCTTAAGTTTTGGGAGTCCCAAAACTATGAAAATTTTGTACTTTTTCAGTTTTTCACTCATAACTCTTAAGGTGACACAGTACTCCCTATTCCGCCCATGTTAAAATTACAGTTTTTAGGTACACATAACTTTTACAAATATTAACCTATCAACTTGAAATTTTTGTACTAAGTTTAATACATTATTACCCACAATAATATGAAGCAAAAAAAGTTTTTCAGCAAAATTAAATTTTTTGTATGATTTTAAAAACTTTATAAAATATTTTGTAATTTTTTAACATAAAATATTTTTTTTATTTCAAAGGTTTTTGGTTGTCATGAAAACTGATTCGTATTATTGTTCCTTATCATATGAGGAACACACACACCAATTTTTATTGAAATTGGATTATAATTGAGAAAGAAAAGTGTACCTGACTAAAAACCACTTGACTTTCGGAAAACGACAAAAGTACCCCCTGTCACGGGTAGTAGTAGGACCCTTGGGCATGCTAAAGTAAGAGTGTATAAAAGTCGCTGTATAGCTTAAAATAATTTTTTCTTCCATAATATTTGGTATTACGTGTTCTACAAAACTAAATAATAAAAAATGTTTAAAAAAATTTAATATTTGACGGCGTACCCTCTGCGTCTTGATTAGTAGTAGGACCTTGGACAAATTAGGCTGCAATAGTTTATAAAAGTAGCTGAAAATTTTAAAAATAATTATTTTCTTCCTTAATTTTTATTATCTACGTGTTCAAAAAAGTCTGTTCTACAAAACTAAATAATAAAAAAAAATTTAAAAAAATTAATATTTGAGTAGGCCTACTGTGTTACCTTAAATGACAAAACCTACAGAAATTGTTAAGCAGATGTTTCTCTAAGTCCATTAGGTTATGCGTCAATTGCTGTTAAATATGTCAAAGTTTGGCTGCTTTAACTTTTCAAAAGGGCTATTTTCACCAACATGGTTAAAAAGTTTGGTTAATCGGTTGTTAAAATTGGATAATTTTACTAAATTGGGTAAAAACCATTGATTCTGCCATTTAAATGGATTAATAATTATAAGATAGTGGTTTATTTCATGGTCTAGAGGTTTATCCAAGAAGGGGTGAAGAGAGCATCACCCTCTATGTAATTTTAAGTCGAATATTGTTGTATGGTGTTCCAGAAATTCTAGGATTCGTCCCAACCTCCCATTTGTAAGACCTCATCCCTGGACACTCCAAAATTATCAATTCTAACAAATAATAAGACATTACAATGAGAAAGATGATAATGGGACAGATGTACATGGTCTTACTATTATGTCTTTCATCTTGTCTGAGAAGATGGTTGGGAGTCTTCGTCGATCCTGTCATCTAACTTCTCATTATCGGAATCTCAAATATAAGGATTCATTTCTTGCTCTTCTTTGTCATCCTTATAACAATACCATATAACAATACATGTGTGGATATTTATAGGTATGCACTGTGGATGGGATACTCCCTGGTGTGGATTAACGTCTGCACTAGTGAGTATTACGACTATCCGCAGTACTATCCTGATAATTAGACCAATTCGTATATACCAAGGAAAAAATGTGGTTCGGATTCCACTATAAACTGTAGGTCCCTTAGTTGCCATTAGCTGTTTGGGCTATTAATTAACAGCTGTGTCTAAGGAATGTCGGCCTTAGTCACTAACAAGACTACAAGATCGCGCCACTCATCCTACACTCATATCCATTCATACTTGGCTTAAAATACCTACATTGTATGGTCGCCATTTCATAAGAAAGTATTAAAGTATTAAAGTATTAAAGAAAGTCATCCCTATTGTCTACCTTTAGCTAATGCCTGTTTATATAATGATTACCAGCTGGTTGTAATGTTTACTTGTTTGCTTTGTTTTTAATGTTGTGTTGAATAAAGTTGGTTAATAATTAATTGTACTTTGATAAATATGTACTTTTTTGTTGTAATAACATACAGAAAAATTGTCAAGTGATTTTATTTCTAAGAATGTTTCATCTAAACAAAGATTAATTATTGTTATTCAAACAAATACACTCATGAGACATACACAAATGAAAAAAAAATTTACCCTATCAGTGCTATGCAACGATATATCGTTGTGAATCTTTTTCCCAAAATGTACTTTGGGACGAAATATCGTTGTTCGTGTTTCATCAAATAGTGCCAAGCGAAGATATATCGTGCCGCACATTCAGCATTTTTTAGATGAAAAATGTTATTTTTACCAAATTTTTTCCTCACACACTAGACTTTGCCCCTGTGTCAAGCCTAGCACTTTTCGTACAAAATAAGTAAATAACTGGCATTTCATCGGAAAATTAAATAAAATTCCAGCATCAAAAGGGTTAAATGTTAAAAGTAGCTTAATATTAATCGGTGAGGACACTGACCTAAATAGGCAAAACATGGTGTTACGGTAACTACTACGATGTTAAACTGTTATGTGAAGGTATTTACCTTAATAGTCTAACTAAATAGTTCAGGGGCTACATAATGAATGTTTCCTACCACACTGCATGGAAATTATCACATTGCCATACCTGTAAACATACAAAAGAGCTCTTTGCCGCTCTAGAGCGGCAACAGATCATTCACGCTCGCTAATCAGCTGATTTCCCAGTAGTTGTCGCTTCCAGACCAATCACAGTAGGATGTTAGTTAACAACTGGTAAGAAATAACATAACCTAAATGACATTTTATATACATATAAAAAGTAACAACAATACATGAATAGGTGGAACATGTTGATACTGTTACTGTTGATACACTGTTCTATGAAATGGCGACCATACAAAGTGTAGGTATTTTAAGCCAAGTATGAATGGAGATGAGTGTAGGAATGTTGTGAACCACTACCATGATAAACGGTACAGTTCAATACAACGTTGATGTCAAGGTATACCTTATAATGGTTTAATCTAATGGATTAACTATTGTGATTTGCATCTCATATCAAGCATTTTCCTACTTTTTACTATCCTTATTCCTTACTATGTGGGTGTCCAGTGAAAATAATTTAGAACTGTATATTGACAAAATGAGGGTTAAACATGATTAAATAGTTACAATAAAATCATTCACTAACCCATAGAGTTCAAAGGAGTTCACTAACAAAACAGTAATCAAACTTGAATGTTGAATGTGTCTATATTTTTTTCAGTCACCCATCTGTATTTGACTTGGGTAGTCTACAGCTTCTACATAGAGCTGCGTGATCCTGCAAGATCCTCTTCTCCGTCAAAGAATGAGATTCGTGGACAACACCATATGGAGGGACAAGTGCCGATGTTAATCTCAAAAGGAAATCATTGAGCAAATCACCCCAAGAAATTAGTGTCAAAAGCTATGCGTAGCTCATACGTAGGTCTGCTTTCTGCTTGATCTAACTTTATGTTTTATATTTTTATAATAAACTATGAGTACAAATCACATGTACAAAAGGACATACATTTATATCAGGCTATGATGTAATTGATCCCACAGAAATAAAAAGGCACTCGATATTACTTTAAGTGTTTGTTTTTATATAGAAATAAATGTTTATTTTTATGTGCCTTTTGTTTTACTTGATGTCTTTTTTTTAGCTATAAGCACTTAACTCTCGCAAAATAGAGCTGCCCTCCTTTCCATACAGTAGTCCCCCAAGTAATATCTATTTCAGTATTATCATTGACTATTGGTATTAAGTCCAAACACCTCTCTGCCATGTCTCATATAAACATTTCATTCCACTTTGAATTAGATTCTACAAACAAAATAAATAAATATTAAATTTTGGTATGAATATAAAAATTGGTTTCCTTTGGCTGGGAATTGGATTGTGTTTAGACATCCTGGAATAGTACGGATGGTTCATTTCTTAAAAAGTAAAAATCTCCCTTACTCTATCGAAGATGTCAGGCGAATGACCGCTCCATGCTCTGTTTGTGGGGAAGTGAAACCTCAGTTCTACCAAAAAACCCCATCAACACTCATCCATGCGATGGCTCCTTTTGAGAGACTTAACATTGATTTTAAGGGCCAATACCATCTGTGACAAGGAATAAATATATACTGACGGTTGTTGATGAGTTTTCAAGATATCCGTTTGCTATTCCTTGCTCAGACAAATCAGCATCTTCTGTCATCAAAGCACTTACATCAATCTTTACCATCTTTGTTTGGTATGCCTGCTTTTGTCCACTCCGACCAAGGTTCTGTTTTCATGTCAAAAGAACTGAGTGATTTCTTACTGTAGTAAAAAACATGTGTCTTCAATTCTTTATTATTGTTTTGTTGTGTTTGTAAACAAATCCATTATAATTCAATGTAGTAATGTTCAAGTTATTAAAAGCCTTCCTAAAGGTGATAAAAGTTCTTTTTCATTCATTCTTACTCTCATTACAATTTTAATAACTTGATATTGTGAAATGAATACTATATCCTAAAGCCAGACAAGTTTAGTGTAGATCCAAACTCATCATCTGCAAGTAACGAATGGACACATTGGCACAAAACGTTTCAGAATTTTGCTACCAGCATCACACCACAACCATCCGACTCCGATAAACTCAAAATACATATAAACTTTATTACTCCGGAAATCGACAAGTACATAAGTGAAAGCGGTACGTATAACAATGCTATATCTGTGCTAAGAAGTATCTATGTAAAACCTGTAAATGAAGTACATTCCAGACATAAACTATCTGCATGTCAGCAGCAACCTGAGGAGACTATTGACCAATATCTCCAGGCTTTGAAATTACTAAGTAAAGACTGTCAGTTTAAAGCTGTCACAGCTGAAAAGAATAGGGATGATTATATCCGTGACACATTTATTGCTGGAATAAAATATTCTGCTATTCGCCAGCGCTTACTAGAAAATGTTTCGTTGACACTAGATCAGGCATATAGTCAAGCCAGATCCCTAGAACTTGCACATGAGCAATCATTAGCTTTTCAATCTTTCCAATCTATAGTAAATGCAACTTCGTCCCAAGAATCTCAAGCGAGCAATCAGAATGTTGATGCAACTTCAAGCAGTTTAGAAAAGTGTTCTCTAGCTGCTGTGACTGAAAAATGTTTCTTTTGCGGTAATCTGAGACATCCTAGGGTCAAATGTCCAGCTAAAAATACAATTTGTCATAACTGTGGTAAACAGGGGCATTTTGCTAAGGTCTGCAGGGCAGGTAAATTACAAACCAAGCAATTGGATAAATCTAAAGAAGTAATGAACTCTATTGCCCTGTAGCTTCGCCCGGTGGGTTAACAAAGAGTACAGTACTTTTTAAGCCCTAGTTAATGGTAAATCTGTCTCTGTTTTGATAGATACGGGAAGCTCTCTAAGTTTGATAAACAAATCTACTGCTCTTAATTTAGGTATTCCTATAAAACCAGGTACAGGTACTGTCTCAATGGCTACTACATCAATCACATCCGACATAACAGGTCAATGCAAAGTAAATCTTGTCATTCTTAATCACTTTTACAAGCAAGTTAATCTTTCATTGTTACCAGATCTTTGTGCAGATATAATTGTTGGACATGATATTTTGAAAAACCATGCAAGTATTAAAGTAGTCTTTGGTGGCAACCAAAGATGATTCTGACCCATCTCTTCTTCTGACGAGAGCGTACTGTGGATTTGTTTCCAAAAGTTGAACTGGCTCGACAACAAGGTCATCATATTTATTAGATCTTACAAACTTTCTAAGCAGGACAGGACCAGGAGCAGATAGCCAAGATAGTAAGGAGTCTCCATTGGTAGTTCTCCTGTTATGTATAAAAGAATCTTTTGTGCGGTGTGCAATTTGTCGCATTGCATAAAAGAGATCTGACTGAGTGGAGCCTCCTGTAATACTTCTTCCCATGCAGCAACTGGCAGGTTGTGGGTTTTCAAAGCTAGTAGGATGGTGTGCCATATTGTTCCATTAAAGCGTTCAATCTGAGAGTTCCCTCTAGGGTTATAAGGTGTCGTATGACTTGTAGCTACCCCATACTTGTGAAGAAAGTCCGTCAGCTCACGCGACATACAAAATGAACCTCTATCTGAATGTACAAAGGACGGGGCTCCAAACATAAAAAATATATCTAGAAAACATTTGATAACTGTTGCTGAACTAACGTCCTTACAGGGATAAGCAAATACAAAATGAGAATACTCATCCACCATGGTTAAAAGGTAACGGTTTATGGTCGTTGATGGAAGAGGGCACTTAAAGCCAATATTTAGACGTTCAAAGGGAGTGGTTGCCTTTATCAATTATCCTTGGAGTTGGTGAAATCTTGGCATCACTTCTGCACATGTTTGGCAAGCTGACGTCATCCTTTTTACATCATCCAGAGTGTAGTTTAGATTTTTAGTTCTAATCCAATGAAACATTCGAGTGACTCCCGGAAAGCAGAGAGATTTGTGTAATTCAAACAACTTAGCATTGTCCCAGCGAACCGCACATACCCGAGAGAGCGTATCTGCTTTTACATTCTCCATACCAGGTCGGTACAACTATTTCATATTGATAAGGAGACTCTAGTCGCCATCTATATCTGGTATAACTGGCTGGGTAGCTGAGTGGTCATAGTGCTCGCCTGCTAATCAAAAGGTCGCCGGTTCGATCCTGAGAAAAGTCAGTAGCTTTTTGATGGTTCGAAACTGGACCCAGCTGTTCCTGATCATTGGGCTTTAAATAAATGATCCTGGCTAATGAAACAGCTGATCTTAGTCAGTAACAAAGCTACACAGATCATCTCACACCATTCTACACTCATCCTTCACTCATATTTGGGTTAAAATACGCACCTTAGCGGCGTCCCCATCTTAATGATTGATAATTGATAATTGATAAAATCTCTTAACTTTGTCATTTTTGATTTTGCTTGTATGCCTCTTGTCAAAAATAAATTATAAAAAGCTTGCTGATCTGTGTATAATCTGAAGTCTCTTCCGATAAGAAATGAAAAAAGTTGAAACCTGTAAGTAAATTTAAAACTAATCTTACATACTAAAAAAACGTTTGTAAAACTTATGACATCTCTGATTATACTACTGGACCGAACTATACACTGGGTTGGTACCAAATGAAATATATTTTCCTGTAGATGTGCAGAATCTCTGTATAAATTAAAATATGCTCAAAAATAAGCACAAAAAAATGAATTTCGAAAGGCTTTGACAATGGCAACGGCTTCTTTTTCAACAGCTGAATACAGCTTCTCAGATTTTTTAAGAGTCGGTGAGAAAAAAGCAATTAGCCGATTATCTTGACTCAAAGTTGCAGGTCGCCGGAATTTTATCCCCCTGGAATTTTACCCCCTGGGCAAAGCTGACGTCACTATGACGTAGTAACCTGAGTGGCCAAAAGTTTGTTCGCGGCCGGAATTTTACCCCCGCGGATTTGGAAGTCTAATGAAAATAGTCAGAGCGTGATTAATTAGATTAGCGATAATAACCGGAATTTTACCCCCTGTCCATATAACTAGCGTTTAGGCAACTGAAGATGTACGGGCCGGATTTTTACCCCCAGAATTTTACCCCCCGGAATTTTACCCCCCGAAATTTTACCCCCTGGCTGATTTTAGAAATTGAATGAATGATTTTCTTATTTCTGTTTTTAATTAATTGTAAACATTTCATTATTTAGTAGCCTATCTTTATTTATTTATTTTGTAATCTCAACTAAGTAAACAGAATTCGCTGTTTTATTTTGATCATATTAACCAACAGTTGGCTTCAAAGATCGAATCCTGACACTCGAAACTCAAAATTAATATTAAAACCCAGTTCGATTAGTTAATGTTACATATAAATTAAGATAGGCTACTTAATAATAAAATGTTTACCATTAAATTAAAACTGAATGACGATAATAAATCATTCTCACTAATTTATATATCTGGCCAGGGGGTAAAAATCCGGGGGGGTAAAATTCCGGGGGTAAAAATCCAGGCCGTACATTCTAGGTTTTTATAATTTGATGTGTTCTGATTAAACTCACAACCATGAAAATATATGTTTAATTCCGCGTTTAATCCATCGAGCTGATGTCGCGAAACTCAAAAGTTCGCGGCCGGAATTTTACCCCCTGGTTTGTGACTTTGTTTGCCCAGGGGGTAAAATTCCAGGGGGATAAAAATCCGCTACCCCAAAGTTGCTGCCATGGCTATGTCAGATGCGTCAGTCTCCACTACCAGTGGCTCTTGCCCATCACAAGGAGCAAATTACTGAATTTGCAATGTCAAGTTTGAGGGCTCCAAAATCTGCAACCACTTCCTGTGACAAAGGAAAAGAATTTACTTGTGTCAGTTTTTTTTTTTTTTATCAGAAAACCGATGTATCCATTTTGAATAGTGAGCGAAAAATCCTAGGACTCGCCTTAGTGAAACTTGGTCTTTGGGCACAGGAAGTGACAGTAGAGATTCTAGCCGATCTGGATCAGGGCGAATAGAGTTATGGGAAACTAAATGTCCCAACAAAGTTATTGAAGACTGGTTGAACTTGCTCTTTTCATTGTCGATTACAAGTCCATACTTAGTTATAGCATCTAAAAATGTTTTTAGATTCTCATCATGATCCTTTTGATCATTTCCACAAACGGCCAAATCATCCAGATAGGCATACACTCCATTCAGTTTTTCTTTTCTAATGATTTGGTCCATGGTCTTTTGTAAACAAGCCACCCCGTTGGTTACACTACACCAAAAGGGATTCTTCTGAAATGAAAAAGATGACCAGCAGCCTCAAAAGCAGCGTACTTCTTTTCTTCGTCAGAAATTGGTATTTGATAGTATGCTTGCTTTAAATCAATGGCACTAAAAACCTTGTTCGTCGCTACAGTGAATAAAAGATCATCTATATTGTTGTTGTTGGTAAGGGATAGGCGTCTAAAAGAATAAATATGTTTATCGTTTGCAAATAGCCCACACACAGTTGCTTCTTCCCTTTGTCGTTTGTAACAACCAACACTTGTGCACGCCAAGGTGACGAACTAGGTTCAATGATCTCCTCAGTCTGTAGCCTTTCCATTTCTTGTTTTACAAATTGCATGTCTTCATCTGACTAACGTCGCGATTTTGTGGCTATCGGCTTACAATCTGGAGTTAAATTGCAGTATTGCAGAATAGTTAGGGTGGTTCAACTTTGGCACAGGACCACACCAACAGAGGAGGTTTCTCACCTCCAAACCAAACCTGTTGTATATTAGAGTGGAGTTTCATGATATTATGTCCGATAAGCACGTGCAGAATCTCTTTATAAATTATAATATGCTCAAAAATAAGCACAAAAAATGAATTTAAAATATAAAAAAATAACATGGGCCTTATGGGTTGCCATGTTGGTAACAAAATATGGGGGATGCGGAATACTATCCCCCGGAAAACTTCCCCCCCAGGTGAAACGTGACGTCACAAAATCTGCCAACTAACCAATGGACTAACCCCTAGACAAATCATGAATAGTGACGTAAAATTCCACTAGGTTCATCCCTCTGCTATTTAATTTTAATTTGAGTAATTCCATTGGATAATAGAAAAGTCATGTGGTGAATATAAAACAGAATTTCGAAATGTTACAGCAAGTTTGGTTGGCTAGGTTAGGTTAGATTAGATCTGTTTGACAACTAAATTTGAGTGTCCGTGACTGGAAAACTGCCCCCCGGTCTCTGACGTCAATATGACGTAGGAAACTGTTTGGGGGGTAGTTTTCCGGGGGGCAGTCTTCCGGCGACCCCAAAATATGTAACAACAAAATATATGGAAGAAAATTTCCAATCACATGTTTTATTTACAAAGGGGTAAAAATAGAGAAGTTTGCACAATACATACCTACTTTTGGTGAGTTTTCGACCATCCCTCTGAATACTAAATATTTTATATAGAGTTGGCCTCCTAATTACCACTTATTGTTACTGTGTTTATCATGATTGCAAAATTAACTCACTTCGATTGCTTAAAACAAAGGGAAATTATCTAGTTATAAAGTAGGCCTACTACTTTCAACAATACAATAAATTTATAAGTTACTAGGTTTGCCGTTTGGACGTATTGTTGGCAGCGCTATAGTCGGGCATTCTATGCGTCAGTATCGATTATTCGGTGGCGCGTATTTCTTGCGACGAAATCATGCAGCCGCGTTCATTCGAGCTTTGCCCGGTGAGTGCGCCACTGTAGTGCTAGTGTGGAATGGAAACATGGCGGTCGGGAGTGTAGTGTGTCGTTCTAATGTGCATTTTGTGATTGATTTTAACCGTGTTTTTAATTTTACCAGCTTACTTGGATCGGGAAAATTACTCGAGGTTTGTTACCTGTCCTATATTTGCCCTGATAATTTGTGTTATGATCGTAAAAGGTTTTTTTAGTGATGTTGTCTACTGTCTGGTGGGGTTATAGGAGGAGCTGATTTGAACTGTTGGCGGAATATTTAATTTTATCAGTCTGCTGGCAGTGTTGTCGTCATGCAGTATTAAACAGTTGTTTACCTTTTTCTGAGTGTTTACGTAGTCTACGTGGGTTGACACACGTTCACTGATAGTGTACTTTTAGGTTATATCTCTCAATTTGGTCCTCCAACAGCTTCAAATATTTATGTTGTGATGACTTCAAGTGGGGTAGGCTAAGTTTAGACATACCCCAGATCCTCCTGCAAGTTGTCAAGACAACTGTTTGAGCCCACCAAATGTAAAAAAATGAAATTATAATTACTTAAATGCACTGGATGTGGGTAGATGGAGCAAAAGAGTTTAATTTTTGGGAACCTAAATTATCTTACTTGGATAACTTGGAGAATTCCCACTGGTATCGCATCAGCGACGTGGTCGTCAGGTTTTTATACCTTAAGCTTACTTGTTTAAAGTGTTTGAAAAGATTTTAAGTTAGTAAAGTTAAGTAATTTGAACCTCACGTCTTTTTATTGTTTTTTAAGGTACGGTAAGTTAATTTGTTAAACTACTTGGTGACTAAAGGAATCAGCACTAAACAAAACAAGGTCACACAATTGCATCCTTAAACTTGTACTTAACAACACAATTGAGCTACTTAGGTAATTAGCCTATAAATAAATAAATAAGGTCTTTATTCATGAGCGAAGTTAAGTTAGTTTACTTGATATAGGTACGCCTACTACCGTAATTTTATACAGTAACTGTAAGTCTATCCCTTCGGGACTCCCTATTTTGTTGACCCGGGTCAACAAATTCAATATAGGGTATTAAAAAAAAAACCACTTGGAATGTAGATATTAACATGAAACTTGGAACGAAGGTATATAAACATGTATTCTACACGCATGTTAAATTTGGTAACGATAAAAAAATATTTATCTATTTTATAAACTAAAAACCGGCCAAAATAGCTAATTTTATTTTGTTGACCCGGGTCAATCGCCTAAAAAAGGTACTTATAATTAAACTATATACATGAAACTTGGAAAGAAGGTATATCCACATGTATTCTACACGTATGTAAAATTTGGTAACGATTAAAAAATAGTTACCTATTTTATTAACAGAAAACTGCCGTAAAAGCTAATTTCATTTTGTTGACCCGGGTCAATCGCCAATAAAAGGTACTTATAATTAAACTATATACATGAAACTTAGAACGAAGGTATATCTACATGTATTCTACACGTATGTACAATTTGGTAACGATTAAAAAATAGTTACCTATTTTATTAACAGAAAACTGCCGTAAAAGCTAATTTCATTTTGTTGACTCAGGTTAATCGCCAATAAAAGGTACTTATAATTAAACTATATACACAAAACTTGGAACGAAGGTATATCTACATGTATTCTACACGTATGTAATATTTGGTAACGATAAACAATTATTTACCTATTGTATTAACTAAAAACCGCCCAAAATAGCTCATTTTATTTTGTTGACCCCGGTCAATCGCCTAAAAAAGGTACTTAGAATTAAACTATATACATGAAACTTGGAACGAAGGTATATCCACATGTATTCTACACGTATGTTAAATTTGGTAACGATTAAAAAATATTTATCTATTTTATTAACTAAAAACCACCCAAAATAGCTCATTTTATTTTGTTGACCCGGGTCAATCGCCTAAAAAAGGTACTTATAATTAAACTATATACATGAACCTTAGAACGAAGGTACATCTACATGTATTCTAAACGTAAGTAAAATTTTGTAATGATTAAAAAATATTTACCTATTTCATTAACTAAAAACCACCCAAAATAGTTAATTTTATTTTGTTGACCCGGGTCAATCGCCTAAAAAAGGTACTTAGAATTAAACTATATACACAAAACTTGGAACGAAGGTATATCCACATGTATTCTACACGTATGTTAAATTTGGTAACAATAAAAAAATATTTACCTATTTTATTAACAAAAAACTGTCGTAAAAAGCTTATTTCATTTTGTTGACCGGGTCAATCACCAATAATAGGTACTTAGAATTAATCTATATACATGAAACTTGGAAAGAAGGTATATCTACATGTATTCTACACGTATGTAACATTTGGTAACGATTAAAAAATATTTACCTATTTTATTAACAAAAAACTGCCGTAAAAAGCTAATTTCATTTTGTTGACCCGGGTCAATCACCAATAAAAGGTACTTTGAATTAAACTATATACATGAAACTTGGAAAGAAGGTATATCTACATGTATGTAACATTTGGTATCGATTAAAAAATAGTTACCTATTTTATTAACAGAAAACTGCCGTAAAAAGCTTATTTCATTTTGTTGACCCGGGTCAATCACCAATAAAAGGTACTTAGAATTAAACTATATACATGAAACTTGGAAAGAAGGTATATCTACATGTATTCTACACGTATGTAAACAAAATGAAATTATAAGTACCTTTTATTGGTGATTGACCCGGGTCAACAAAATGAAATTAGCTTTTTATGACAGTTTTTTGTTAATAAATAGGTAAATATTTTTTAATCGTTACAAAATTTAATATACGTGTATAATACATGTAGATATACCTTCGTTCCAAGTTTCATGTATATAGTTTAATTCTAAGTACCTTTTTTAGGCGGTTGACCCGGGTCAACAAAATGAAATGACCTATTTTGGGCGGTTTTTTTAATTAATAAAATAGATAAATATTTTTTAATCGTAACCAAATTTAACATACGTGTAGAATACATGTGGATATACCTTCGTTCCAAGTTTCATGTATATAGTTTAATTCTAAGTACCTTTTATTGGTGATTGACCCGGGTCAACAAAATGAAATAATAAGCTTTTTACGGCAGTTTTCTGTTAATAAAATAGGTAAATATTTTTTAATCGTTACCAAATTTAACATACGTGTAGAATACATGTGGATATACCTTCATTCCAAGTTTTTATGTATATAGTTTAATTCTAAGTACCTTTTATTGGTGATTGACCCGGGTCAACAAAATGGAATAAGCTTTTTACGGCAGTTTTCTGTTCATAAAATAGGTAACTATTTTTTTAATCGTTACTAAATGTTACATACGTGTAGAATACATGTAAATATACCTTCATTCCAATTTCCATGTATATAGTTTAATTCTAAGTACCTTTTATTGGTGATTGACCCGGGTCAACAAAATGAAATTAGCTTTTTACGGCAGTTTTTTGTTAATAAAATAGGTAAATATTTTTTAATTGTTACCAAATTTAACATACGGGTAGAATACATGTGGATATACCTTCGTTCCAAGTTTCATGTATATAGTTTAATTCTAAGTACCTTTTTTAGGCGATTGACCCGGGTCAACAAAATAAAATTAGCTATTTTGGCCGGTTTTTAGTTAATAAAATAGATACATATTTTTTTATTGTTACCAAATTTTACATACGAGTAGAATACATGTGGATATACCTTCGTTCCAAGTTTCATGTAAATATCTACAATCCAAGTGGTTTTTTTTCTAAATATATTTAATTTGTTGACCCGGGTCAACAAAATAGTCAGTCCCTATCCCTTCTTAAAAAAAAATCATTTATTATTCTCTGGGGCGGACCAGCTTCTTTTGGATCTGTTACCAGTACCGGTACTGGTATGTTAGGTATATATAAGTTAACCACGTCCCAGTTGGGCTATATAGAGTTGTGTATAATGTGTGAGTTTAAGGATCTGTAACTTTGTTGGATGAGTTTTACAAAACATTGATCGAGGTCTACTAACTTCTGTCAGAACTAGTTGATTGTTTTGTTGAAGTTGTAGAAACTTATAGGTACTTGTTGATTAGGCTATTCCACTATTCACTCTGTTTCACTTTTGACTTGCACGCAAAAGACGATAGGCACCCTTTGAAGGTGGGAATAACAATTAGCTCTGAAAAAATTAAAAAACAAATTATAATTTTTTGTTTAATAGGGTTAAATAGGTTTATTTGCATAGCTTGTTTAGCTGTATTGCATTGTTCAATTCATGTGTGCTTGTTTAATTTTCAAGAAGGCCGCTCTTCAAAAAGAGTTTTGACACCTTGAAACCAGAAACAATATTCAATAACTTCTAGGATTATCCCTCATGTTGACATTTAAGGGTGACATTTAAAACTATTCATGCTCTAAATAGATGTTTCATAATTAATTTTTCCATTAGGCCTATCATGACTTTTTAGTTATCGATAACTTAATCTAGATAATATTAAGGTACCGGTAGCCTATTAGCCTATAATGAGTTATGGAAGTTAAAGTTAGGTATTCAATATTGAGAAAGTCCATAAACAGACAGTTTTACAGACCTATCATGGTTGTTTCTATAGGCTAACAGAGGAGCTTTTCTTACTGAACAGAAAACCCTACCTTCTAACTCCGTACTCTAACCGTTCAGGTCACAAACCATCGAAAGAACAATAAAGTAATTTTTTTTGTAGGGACCGATCTAAATTCAGAATTTCATATTTCTATAACGCCAACCTTTTAGATATCACTGTTAATTTAGCCAAATTACCAATATCCTTTAGTTGCATGCTGTATATTCAATATTGTTTTAAATTTAACTAGAGCAACCTTTTAGCCCCGTTAACACGGTGAGTTTACAAGTTATACGCCGGCCTTTTTACAAACAGCTCGTAAAATATCTCAGTGTAAACGACGTACTCGCTCAAAAGCTGGCTTTTACAAATTAAGTTGAAAAAGTTGACATTACATGTCTACTCACCAGCTTTTGAGCGAGCTTGCTTGTAAGTAGCCCAGTGTGCACAGTTGCTTGTGCTTGTGAACATGTTATTCGAAGATGTTGGAGGAATTGGTTCTAACGGGAATTGTGGTTGTGGCAAATGTGATTAAAATTAAAATTGCTTGGACAGCAA